AATGTAACAATAAGAATGGTAAGTATAGAAAAGTCTGAAACTATAAGATATTGTATGTTAGTAGTAAGCAGTTAAAACACAATGCCTAAAATATATAAAATGCATTATCTTCATATCTTTTCAATTATTTTGTTGGTTTTATACAATATTAATTTACCATGTAAAACCTTTTTAGTTTGAGAATCTAAACTGGACATTTTGAAAAATAAAATATACATAATTTATACTAGATACTGATAGTCTAAGTTTTAACTTTAATGTTATTATTAAATAAGAATTGCCTTCATTAAAAATTAATCCTATATCTCTATACTTGCTAGGAAATTTTAAATATTACTATGTCAGTTTAAATATTTGATTTGTTCTTGGAGTTATAGTTTTTTGCACTTGTTAAGTAATGTTTGTTTACCATGCCATAATTGTTGTATAAAAATATTAGATGTTCATAATTTAGTCGCAAATCGGTTATTAGTGTTGTGTAGACAGAACCACAGATCATATTCTTCTTAAGTATCATAATTTATTTGTGCCATAATCTAATCTTCAAATATTATCTGTGCTATTCTTTTAGAAATACACTGATTATGATTTGTTTGTATCTTTATAATAAAGAATACTAGAAAATATGTTGTGAAATAATATCGGTTATGTTTCTTTTTTTTAAGAATTCTTGTCTATGATTTAAGAGTATTGTAAGCTAACTAAAATATGTTTGTTTTTATTTTGTATTAAAATGTAATAATTATGTATAATTTTATTGTTTATTAATATTCATTTTCATAATTTAAAAAATGTTTTGTGTGATTAGAATTCACTGTAACAAAGTAAATTGTGCTCTAATTGGTGATTGGATAACCAATTAAAAGCCAATTTTAATTTATAATGGTATGTATTTAGTATTTAAATTTTGTTTAATGGCTTTTAAATATATTTAACATAATATAGTATTATTACTATTAAGCGAATACTTATTTAGACTCTGGTGTACTTGCTGTAGTTGAGTAGATAATTTATTTGTTTTTGTGATCGAGTAAGTTTATTTTAACTTATAAGTAGCATAATTTCTATTTTCAATATGTGATTAATACACGTGATATATCTAATTATTTGTAAAAATTTTGTGGAAATGAAGTAAAATGCTTTTTATTTTAGTACCCTCTTTGATTTCACCCAACCTGTAACTTTATTTAATATTGGTTTAGTAATTGATAATTATTTTTATTATAATTAGTAATTGATTTTTCTAATAAGTCATAACTCTTAATAAATCTCACACACTCAACAGCGTACATCGGCAGAATAGATTAAAATAGGTCTGCAGGTGTAATGATTTACACATTTTTTTTATTGTCTAGGGTCTGGGAGTTCTGGGTATTATGGAACCTTTGTTGTCACAGATACTCCAAAATACGGGGTTCAGTACTCCAAAATACACATCTTACAATATGAGCCATGTATGTGATGTTGTTGAATGTTTATTTATCTATACTTAATATTATAAAAATTAAAGGTTTTATTGTTTATTTTTTACATGCAATAGGCTCCGAAACCACTGGACCGATTATTATATTTGATCAATCTCAAACAACCAGGGAGAAAGTGGTTTTTTAAGTATTTTTATTAAGATTACTGAACCGATTTTAAAAACTCTTTCACATACGGGTAGCTACACCATACGCAGTTGACATAGGCTACAGTTTACACAAGCGAAGTCGCGTGAAAATAGCTAGTTTATAGATATTCTAGTTTGAGATGAGAAATCTTCTGGGACTGGTACTAGAATTTGAGCGAAGTATCGTGGTGGACTAACGATAACCGTCAAGTCTCTTTATGAAATCGACCAGGGATAACGGATACGACGGCAGTGGTGCACAAACGCTCATACCTCGAAAACACTAATACGTGCTCTGCTAATACTGTCTTGAAGTAATGAAATCCAGAATCTGAGTAATTACTGTTCAAAGTCAAATATCTCTGCAGGCTTACATATTTGTTTTCGATCAATAATTATTAAGATTCTGGATATCTATTTATTACTATTTCGTCACTAAATATGAGACTAAAATATTCGATTGGATTAGTCAGAATGATAAAGTACTTTGTGGTTACTAAGATCTACGAAATACCAACATGTGTCAATAGTTTCAACGTTTTATTTCATTCTAAAATTACCTAAGGTTTTAAAAAATGGTCTTTCTAACAGCTATTGAGTAAACATACAGTGGCGCTGCTGGACTGACGTTAGCCCAACATCATCACAATGTTTCTTATTTGCCTTTCTAAACATAATTTTATCATTGAATAGGTACGTTATTCTCCTATAAACGGTTTTCTTTATTGTCTATATACATTTTTTTTTTAATTTTGGTTGAATTAAATTTTCAAAATAGTTTTGTTTGTCTAAATTAGACTTTTTTGAGCATATTCTAATTTAGTCAAACTTAATTTTATTTAAAAAACTTCAGTAACCAAGCCCATTGATTCAATGTGCTAGTTAATTTAAGATGATAGATAGTGTATCAATTTTTCTACAATAAAAAAATGTTCCTCTATTACTAATTCTTTCATCCATGGGAAATTACATCATATGACTACAGCTATAATTTGGTGAAATCGCAGAAAAGTAGATAGTTTCTGAACATTTCTACAAATTATGCTGACCAAATTATTCCTCCTTTGCTAATAACAAAATATCTCCCCATAATCGAGGAACATTTAACTACCTAGTAACACTGATGATTTATTTGTTGACCCTTACGGTGGCACGCCTAATAGCCCTCTATAAGTACTTACTCTAAGGTAATTACGGTGCAGTTGGCAACACTGTCAGTCAGTCAATGTTCTTGAAATCATACTAGATGTCACTCGCGAGTTTTGGATTTTGTTTATGATATTCATTCAAATTTTATTTCTGACGTAATAAATGTAAATTGAGTATTTTCGATTAATAAATATGACATCGTTTTGTGTTTCTTATAATGTCTCACTTTCAAACTAATTTTAATTGTAAGTTTAACTTGTTTATTATGTTACGTGTAAAGGAACGATGTTTGGTTGATACGTCAACATTAGTGATGGCCAACTTATTGGTTGCTCGTAACTTTCGTCGAATTCAGGTTTGGAATGGAGAACAAAAATGATGATGAAGATGAAGTGTCATTATGCATCCACAAAACGAATGATATTAATATAAATATCAAAATCAATTCAATCTAGACTGTTACATAGTACTTGTGAATTCGAAAACTTTACCAATGGTTCGCAAAACTAAGGCGGGAGATCTCTTACTGACAAGAAACGGCAAGAAACTCAGCAAGGGCTGCTTTTTTAATTTCAACTAAACAACTCAACTATACTATATTTGAGGGATCGTAACCACCTAACGCACACGATACCACCGCAGAGATTTTAAGAGACCATAACAACTCTAGGTACTTAGTAAATAATATATTTCAATAAAACGGATTTCTAGAGTAGGTTGTGTAGGAATTCAAATTATTATTAACAATATTATTGTAAGAACCAAAAAGAACAAACCCGCCGTACGAATTAACTTAACACATGGCTCGACGTCCGCCGACGACATGCAAGATCAGTAGCAATATAATAACTGTACGTGTCTTTGACATTTGAAATTTAAAGTTACAACCTTGCTGTTCGTTTAGAGCAGACGTTTCTTGTTAATTGCTGAATGTTTATTAAGATGATTTAATTATGAATATAAGATTTAATAACTGATAATAGTTTTAAAAAGTCTTAATTTCGAAAGCACAAGTTATTTGCACGTTACACTTTGCACAAACGTCATTTTAGCCAGCAGTTATGTTATTTTGTACAAATATATAGTATATTTGATACATATCGGGTAAGTTTATAGATAATAAACGGATTTTTCTTAAAAATTATTGTTTTTATGACTTTGTGCTGATTAATAAACCCTATTCATTCATTCACCATACATAATATAAAAAAAAATATTGAGAATTGATGTAGTTTTGTTGTTGTAAGTTCAACAAACAACTAATAGCAATAAAACTAACTTACCTAGTTGTTATTTTTTCAGAACTTTTGTTAAATATTAAAATGAAAATGCCTAGACCTACTATGACATAAGTACCTATTTTATTTATAAAACGTAATATTATTGTATACCGTAGTTAGATGCCACTTTTAATTATATCACAGCATTCAATTGATTTCCATAAATTTAAAAAGCCTCTGTGCTCACTTCCATTATGTTAGTTTCCATTTTCCTCTATACAAATAAAAAATAAATTTATTCAAAGATTACTTTGTATTAATCGAGTTGCGATTGCATAACTCGAACTAGTTAAATTTCAACTCGATATTAATCCAAGTTATCAGATCCATAACAACACTAACAAATCTATTCTCTTTGGTTTAACGTCATGAATTGACGTTTAGATCCAACAATTTGTGCTGCCATCTAGTAACATAATTTTTTGTAGTTTCTTTATTTTTTTTAAATACTTCCTCATTAGAGATGAAAGTAACGAATAAAAGTGTACTCGTATGTATGCGTTACTATAACAATTATTACTCGTTATTTTCGTATCGTTTCAATACTCGTTACTTCTGATACCTCGGAATATGGTGTGTTAGAGCCACGAATCGAATCGTAATGCGTACGCGTCAATGATGTTTATTTTTTTAGACATCATTGATTCATTCGCAACTTGTAGAAAAGTTAGTTATCAGTACCTACTGAAAATTTTCTATTTACAATAAAATTGTACAACATTGTATCGATAAATCAATCCAAAACAATTGATGAAATAAGAATGAACAAATAAAATAAAACATCTGTATCTGTTGTGCCTATAAATGAAACTAATCATAATAATAATTAATAAAAAGCATCAACTTTTATGTAAAACTAAAACAGTGTACCTACCTATATGGGGTACAAAAAATACGAGTAACGAAATACATTCGTGAGTAACATTTCGTTACTCGGTGCTAGATGGCGCACCCGTTACTCAGTACCGAATAAATACGATTTGCTACTGCTCTACAGTCAATGTCAGTCGCGTCATCAATGAGATTTATCATGAAAAATACGAAGAGAATCTAAACAAACGCTACACTATATTACAGGCTGATATCATGGATACTTTACATGTAAACCCAGTAAGGCAAAGATTAAATAAGATTTTCGATACACATATAATAGATGATAACAGTGAAGCTTTAAATACGGTGTCTGGAATATGCTCTTCAAATTCTTCTTACACAAGAAGAGTGTTGGTCAATGAAATCGAAAAGAGAGATATACTTGTAAACAAAGCAGTATTATTAGAATTTAGGAAGGTAAAAGGTAAGCTTCAAGTGCTTTTAGACTCCTTGTCAACTTTGAATATTGCTGTTAAAGATATGTCAAATCGACTACAAGAATCTAAAACAAAGACCCACCATTTGATTAAACAAACTACTAAACTGAGAGATGAAAGAAAAAAGACAGAAAAAAAGCACATATGGGTTGATGCATTGGTAAATAATTTTCAAATACCTCCAGAACAGAATGAATACCTCAATAATGTTTCTATAAAAATGCCAATAACAGCTGATTTTTTTGGCACTTTATCACAAATTGAAAAGTTGTATGATAATTGTAGAACACTTGTAAAATGTTGGTACCAGACTTCTGCATTTGACATTATGGAGATAATAAGCATGCAACAAGAGGTTGCTATTGAAAAACTCTATCATTGGACAATAGGAGCTTGTCTCAGTATTGATTCTCCTTCCAATGCATTAGTTCCAAAAGCATTAGCAAAATTTCAAAATAGACAAGTTTTATTTTCAAATATTGTTGATGAGTATTGTTCTGCTCGTAAGGCAACTACAGTACAATCGTTTATTGATGCACTTACTAAAGATGGTGATAATGGCTCTAAGCCAATAGAATTTTATGCTAATGATCCAAAACGGTATATAGGAGATATCTTAACATGGGTTTATCATATTATACCAATTGAAAAAGAGTACCTTATCACACTCTTTAAATTTTGTAATATTAATGATAAAAATCAACAGATAACAGATGCTTTAACAAATATTATGGAAGCTATATGCCCACTTTTGAAAGTTAGAGTTGAGCTCATATTAAAGCCTGATAAAGATCCATTAACTTTGTGGTCTATTACTAATCTAATAGTATACTATAAACATGTAATTCAAAGTGTCATTCCTAAAGGACATTTGGTTGATACTTTTGAAGAATTGTTAAAAAAAAGTGAAGAAATGTTTTTAATAACATTGGATAGCAAAATTCAAAGAGAACTTAGTCATGGTGTGAAAGCACCTCCAGTTGATTTGAATCCTTCTGTAGTTGTTACCAACTTAGTTAGCTTCCTTCGTGATTTATTGGCTGCTATGAATATCTCTGACAACATCAACAAATATGACAAAAAGATCATTACAAATCATATATTGGATCCACTTTTGCATGCAATAAATGAAACAGCCTGTCACTTGAGCTCAACTGATATGTCAGTGTATATGCTCAATTGCATTTATCATATCCAGTGTACTCTATCATTATATACAGTCATGGATGAATACAATGAAAGACTACAAGCACAATCTGAAGCACAAATTGACACTTTAACATCAGAGCAAGCAAGTTTTCTAGTAGCAAATTTGAATTTAGGACCAATATATACAATTCTACAAGATAAGATTAGTGGTCCATTATCTGCCATACCAGGGATGGATGCAGCGACCTTGAAAATATTTCTAAACAAGTTTGACTTATTTTTAGCATCTCCAGATACATATATATTGACGCAGCTAAATTTGTTACTAAGTCATTCACACAAATCCGTTATAAAAAAGAGAGCTTTTGAAGTCATATTGGCTATTTATGGACAATTATATAAAGCTGTTCATGACCCTATAAATGGATATTCAGAGCCAAAAATGGTTATACAGAGGGATCCAGATGAAGTGGCGAAATTACTTATGTAATAAAACTGAGATTGAAGTATTTTATCAAACAGAAAATAGAAGAAAAAGTAATAATGATGATTTAGTTGTGAAATATAACATGTAATGATATTTACTAAAAATACAATTAGTAATTATACACTTGGACAATGTAGTTTTCATATAGTCATACAACATAATATCAAATTAAATTTCACTTCTAATCTTTTCCAGTGCTGCCAGTGCCACTCTCAAATTTTGAAATGAATAAATTCTTAATTTAGATAAATAGAATACTCTTTATTGTTCATACACATAACACTATTTCAATTCTAGAAAGAAGACATACAAACGGTGACCTTATCACTAAAAGTGATCTCTTCATTATACCTCATGTGTTCATAAGTTTTGAGACAAACTTTTTACTGAAAAAATAAAATAAAAAGTTACTGGCATTTTTTCCTTTTTACCAATTTTGAATTTCGAATTTTAACTTTTAGTTTATTTGTATCGCAAATACATTTGTTAAATTTTCTCGTGATGGAGGGAACGAAACAGTTATTTGCAACTGTTATTTCGCTATTTAAGGCGGGAAAAAACAGCAGATTTTCCACGAGCTAAAAAATTATGATGTAAGCCGTTACTTCGGCTAGCTAGGACCTAGCTAGACGGAATTGATGGGAAAACCAGGGCAAATAATATTCCAGATGGGTGAAAATAGGCTCTGTAGTAGCGAAAGTAACAAGTGTTTGAAAGATTCGTCAGTCCTGTTAGGTCCTGGGTAGCTCAGTGGTTAGAGCAGTCGCCCGGATTGCAAAAGGTAGGGAGTTTTGATTCCCATCTCAGGGTGCCAGGAACCAAGTGGAATTTTTAAGCATTTTACATTAAGAATAAACAACAATGAGTTTGACTGTAATAGAAGGGCTATTAAAGTCGCACTCATTTACTTAATAGATTATTTTCTAAGGACGTCGTTTCTATTATAACGTTTAAGATTTGCTCAGCATTAACATAGTTTCCCCAGCTAAGATTTAGCAGAATGACTAAGTTTCTTCGCTTGCCTAATGGGCAAAACCAACAGCAGTCAGGCAAAGGTCATAAATTTTGACAAATTGTAATAAAAGAAGAAGAAGAACCTCACGTGCAGCCTTATATACAAAATAATATTATTTTACTGCAACTACTACTGTTGGTTCGCAAATGAACGCTATTAAGGTTTCAAATATTTGAGAAATGAAATAAATCATGTCCTGCTTTATTGTCTTTACTAATTTCAGGAAAATATCTAGGCAAAACGCTTACGAAAATTATTTAAAGGCTAAACTTATAAATAATTTATAAAATTAATAATCTTAAAATGCATATGTAATATGATTAATTTATTTACACACTTCATTGATAAACACCACTCGTGAATTGTTCTTCAGTCTGATAAACAACCAAAATAAATGAGTCTAGTTGATAATAATCTAGTCGATTTTAACGGCACCATAAATTTTCATTATAAACATGTAAGCCGCAAAGAAACCCATTGTGCCTGTTAAAAGCCAAAAAGTTAACACCATCAGCCCTGAAAAAGAAATGCTACATTAGCAACCACTTCATCAACTTGTAACAGCAACATTGAACCTAATAGCTTCTGCTGGCAAGAAAAATTTTATACCTGTATAGCCAATGTAAAGAAGGGTCGGTATAAATTCGGTGATTTCCAGCTTAGTGAAGAAATAGAATATCGAGTATATCAATATATACACCGCTGACCCTCCAGATACGATAAAACTCTTCCACCACCAATGATAATCCTGGAATAATTAAATATAATATACGCTTTCGTCTTTAAATCTTTTGCTTTACATGTTATTGGGTTTTTTTGGAACGAATATGAATCGCGGCATTTATTTTTCCGGATAAAAAAAAGAGAACTTAAATATGGAAAACATGGCAGCAGCATAGCAGATTAAAATTGCCAATTTCTGTCAAAACATTGAAATAAAATATTATGATTTGCAAATATTATACTACTCTTTGTTTGAAAACCATGTAAACGCGAAACCACACTGATAAGTAGCTTGCTACAATTGTTCTCACATTTTCACATTAATTTGATTTGCGAAGTTTTCTTTAATTAAACACACGCAATATACTACTATATATATATATAAGAAAGGTTACGTCTCCAAAAAAGTGATAATAAAACAAATGGCAAAGATATAACAAAAATACTTTTTAAAGCTGTCAGGTGGCAATTCAAAAAGGCGACTTGCCAGTGAATATTCACTGTTCGAGAAACTCGGTTGCTGAAGAAATCATAGTTTGCTTTATTTTAATCACATAATCGAATTTAAGGGCCGGCGCACAATTAACACAGCGCAGTGCCTAATATTTATTACTGTCAAAACATTATCGATTATGTGGAAGTTAAAATAAGAACTAGAATTATTTGATACACAGGCTTACACATCCGCACGTAGTCTCATCAAATTAAGAGGCGTATAGCCAAGACTAAAAGAGGTAGGATGGGCCTAGCCCACCCCCCTCCCCTGTCCGTGACGGGATTAAATAGTTTTACACACAACAAGAAGAAATGGAAAAAATAGTGATTGAAAATATAATTTTGTGATTGTTTCTATTGGAAAAAAATATAAATTAAAAACTAACTTATTTACTCATCCGCTAAACCAGCATATAAATATCACTAATCGATTACCCACATAGGATATAAATATGATTTAAAAAAGGAATTACCTCACCACAAAGCTGAAAGTATACCATTACAATTGAAATCTGTGATACTGATATCATCAATATAATGAAAACGAGGAACAGGAATCCAAAAAGGTAATAAAATTGATTTTCCCACAGTGCATTGAAGATAAAGAACAGTTCTATGAATACAGCTCCAAATGGAAGAATTCCAGCCATCAGTACACTACAAAATAAATCATAATTAATGATAGTTTGTTATCCATATACGCTGATGAATAATAAGTTTATTAATAGATAGGAACCAGGTTTTAATTTATTCTAATTAAATTTGCTGATAGCGCTGCTAACGGCCGATCCGTCAGCATATATAATTGATGATTTCATCTCATTAAAAAAATATACATAGATCAATTTTGATTACACGACATCAAAAGCACTTTTCGCAAATTGCTCTAGTTAAAACTCGATTCATATCACCGTGAAAATTGGATTGGCACAATCATGATACTAACTACCTCAGTACGCAAGTAGTCAGCTTGTCGCCTACCTATTTTAGTTTTTAAAACTAGGAATGTCGAGTGGTAGACATATATTATTTCATCGATTTACATTTATACTTATGTGTTATTATCTATTTTGTCTTATCTTTGTAATTTTAAGGTAATAAAATATGTTTAGGATTATTTCAAAAACCAAAATAATTAAATTTGAACACACCTGAAATTATAAAAATGGGACAAAATAAATGTATTGTAATTCTGTTGATTAGTTTGTTTTTCTTTTTTTAATTCAATTAAACTATATGTATGACAGTACTACTGAATTAATATACGTTACAATAGTAACATTGTATATACAAAATACACTCCCATAATATCACAATATAGATCATGCACTGTGATAACATGCATAATTATTATTAAAACAAGAATAATGCTCGTCGATGTTCTATGCAGAAGGATGAGTCGAAAATCTGGTGTGTTGTATTTTATTTTATGGTTAAAACAAAACTCATTATTATCATAAGTCACTTCATCTTCGGAATTGGTTTAAGATACACATCGGACACGCCATATTAGTTGAGTTGTACTATACCATGTAAAATAATAAATAAACTGGCTAAATCGTAGCTACTTACCATATAAAGATATTCATATACCAAACTTGCTCTGGGACTTTTCTAGGAATGAAATTTGTCCTAACGGGATGTTGAAAAGGTTGCTTTCGAATGCCAAAATAATATCCTAGGTACACTAACGGCAAAGATATGCAAAACCATAGACATAATAGAGCCATCATAGTTGAAAATGGAACAGCCCCACTGGAATGTTTTCCCATTATGAAGAAATTTAAAAAGAAACATGTCCCAAAAACAATAGCAGGATAAATTGTAGCCGTAAGGAATGCAGCTTGCTTCCATTGTTTCCCTTTCATTGTAGTATATAAGCGGGCTGAGTAGTAGCCAGCAACAAGACCCATAAATACGTATAGGAATATCGCAGCAGTCATTAATGCTCCGCGGCTAGCAGGCGATAACATGCCCAGCATCGCTATGACTGAAAGAAAAATATGATACAGTATTAATTAAAAAAATATTCTGTCCTGAAAACATCTAGTTTAGGCTGGTTCTAGCCAATCTTTTGCGACCACATTCCGTGCATTTATATATTAAGTTTTACGAATATATATACATAAGTCCAAGTTTTTGTAAGTTTACCCACTTTCCTGCTATTTATTGCTACCTTTACGCATCTACCTTTAGTAAATTGGAATTTAAATCGCTTTGCTTCACGGCATTGGTTCCCAAAGCTGACTGAGCTCCGACCTATCTAACAAACATTTCCAATTTTAAGACAATTGACTTGGGGATCGTATCGTAAAAATGTGGGTATCATTTTTTTTTTATACTGTTTAATAGATAGATACATAGTTTAGATATATAGCTTGGGAAATACCACTTAAGGGAATGCGTAGAGTATTTAAGCTAATTAACACAACAAGGGGTCGTACATTTATTACGTTTTTAACCTCTTGTAAGCAAAAATGAGAATCGGCCGAATTTAAACGAAAACTCATTTCGAAACCGATTTTAGTACAAAGCAGTGTCCTAGAAGTTGTTCAAGAATACGTATGTATACCTTGGGTAAATAATGCAATCCAGACCGCGTATGGGGAAGCATAGTGTGGGTGAAAACAAGATGGAAGACAATAATCGTAAGGTGTCTGGCAGAAACTGAATGCGATAAGCGGAAGATCGAGTGCAATGGCGTGAGTTTAGAGAGGCCTCTGTTCAGCAGTGGACAAACACAAGTTGATGATGACGATGATGATGATGAGATGAGGTAGACAGACAACCATGTAACCCTGTTAGGTAGGGTTACCACCCGTACTTTATAATAAAGTATTGTACGTTATTTCAGACAATTGTACTCTATACTCTATAAGAAAAATAAAGTACACGAAAATACTTTATGTCCTATGATTTGATTTGTTTGTGATTTTGAAGCTTAGTCGTAAGTATTTTTTCGTTAAACAAAATTTATTGATTCATGCTGAATCGATAAATAAAAAGAAAATGTATTTTTAAGTTTAGTAATAAAGAAAAATAAATAATACTTTACTTTGATTCAATTTACTTTGTTTTTGTACCTATAATAACTAATGTACTTTAATTGAGGAAAAAAGGTGGCAACCCTACTGTTAGGTATCCGTTTCTCCTTTTTGATACCAAATCTTAATCTTTTAAGGGGCAGATAGAGTTCGAACAGTGTATTTGAAACAAATGAAAAATAATCAAGTGAATTTAGGTTTCTTTGAACAAAATTTAGCATTTCAATCACTGGTTAAAAATTGATATCATCATCATCACCAGCCCTTTTACGTCCCCACTGCAGGGGCTCAGGCCTTCCTTATAGATGGTTAAGGAGGATGGGCCATGACCCTCCACGCTGGCCCAATGCGGATTGGACGGTATTAACGACTGCAAATGCAGCCGGGACCAAAGGCTTAACGTGCCTTCCGAAGCATGGAGTAGCTCGAGATAATAATAATTTTTGGTCACCCATCCTGTGACCGACCCTTGCGAAAGTTGGTTAACGACTACGATCGCGGGCCGCGGTGCTTATCCACTACGCCACCGAGCTACTAATAAAATTGATATTACTGTTTTGAAGTGCACCTAATTAAACAAATAAAGAATTTCTTCTCATGTACATATAATTGATAAATATTATAGATGGTAATTTACAGAGCTTGTGACATATGGTCTCTTTTTTTAATCTAAGACAGTAATTTAAAAATGTCTTGAAATTAATTATATTCATTAATAAATAATACTGGTCAATCAAAATTATGTATCAATAGTAATTTATGTTTGTTTCTGATATTTAAGTAAGATTTTTAATGTTTAGTTTAGCACCTTTATATAGATTTTATTTAAATATAATTGATAGTCTAAAATAAAAAGTATAAGCCAACAAATCATGAGAAATAAGTAAGAAATCAATGGACTCAAATACCAGACTATACTAGAACCAGTTTAATACTCATAAAAATTCATAAATCAAACAACTTTATTTATAATTACTAATGTTCTAAACAAAACAATGAAAGTGCATAAGTTTGTTAATACATTTTAACTCTGTATTTGTTTTTAGTGTAAATTTCATTGCATCTGTTTTTATTGTAAAAAACAGGATAAAAAGGAGTTATTTATGAATTTTAGAATTGATAACAGTACTCACAAATTGTTATAAGAGTCATAAGGAAGACTTGTATCCCACTCCCAATGACAGCTGCAAACAGCATCCTCTTAGGTGGAGGACGGAAAACATCACCATGTACTAATTTCCATCCAGTTTCTTCCATCATATCATCAATACTTTCATCAGAATTGTAGCGAGCAATATCTCTTCTTAATGTTCTCACCATAATCATTGTTAAAATGCCTATAAAATAATCAATATTGTTGTAATTTCTGTTTTAACTAACCTGAACTTCACATTTAAACAAATTTACATACCTGATAGGAAAAAAAGGACAACAATTGAGTTTACAATGGAAAACCAGTGTATTTGTACATCTTTCATGCCCAAATAAATATCCCATCTTGATGCCCAACTTATGTCAGATTCACCCCATTCAACAGAATATGTGAAATAAAGTTTTGTACCAGTATCTTCATTGACTAATTGTGGTTTAAGATTAGATGCAAATTGACAACCAAAATCATCTAAGAATGTGAGCTCATCTTTGTCTATGGAAAATGTTTCAACTTCAAAACCTACCACTCTATAGGAATCTCTGTAAAATTTTTAAGAGTTAATAACTTAAATAGAATGAACACAAAGGTTATTCATCAGACAGAATACTCACTGGCTGTGCTTGTGGTACTTTAAGAGCAATTTTAGATGATTATTAATATATGCCTTGCCTTTAGTCATAAAACCAAGCCGATAGCCTTGCTCTATAGTTCTTTCACCAGTTTCAATACTTACAATTCTTGTAGCTACAGGTAAGTTATCAATCAATCTTAAAAAGGAAACAATTGTGAATGTAATTAGCATAACCATAACAGTTACTAAAGCAGTTAAGAAGCCACAAAAACTTACAGATGTACAAAATATTCATGTTCAATGCGACTTGCTACTTTCTCAGATTCTTCCACACTCCAATTGATTGGATTATTCTTTTGATGACACAATAGTCGGCATTTAATATTTTCTGCCATATGAACTTCATAGGGAGTATTAACAATACGATCACCACGTAATACCTCACCCAAATTTTCAGATTTATAAACAAATGTACCATTTTTTGGTAAACATAGAGGTAAAGAATAATATTCATATGGAAGTTGTGTGTGTATACTTGTCATTTTAACAGCTTTGACTTCAATTCTTTGTCCCTTTTTATACTCAACCGGTGCAACACCCGGCACATAAAATCCATTGCTAAAGAGAACGAAGCTGGTAAACAGAAAACACTGAAAAAGAACCTAAAACAAGAAGAAACACTTAAAATCTGAAATTTATTCTTAAAATTCATACTTTATTTCATAAATCGCTTACTGTAAACATAGTTGTGTATCAACTTTCAATGATAAACCGAAAAAATTTAGAAATATTGACCATTTTCTTTTATCGACTGCTTCTTTGATTTTTGTTTGAGGAATGGGTGAGTGCTGCTGTCATTACTGTCATTCATTTGTGATCAATTTTTAAATTAAGCTGAGGAATACAGCTCATGCAGTTAACCGATTTCACATCCGTAATGTATTGATTTGTTATCAGTCATTTGTTTTTTTTGTTTCTCTATTTTCTTAGTTATTTTAAAACTATAAAAGTTGATAGCGTCGTATGAGACAACGTTTTAGTGACGTTATATATAAATAAAGTGTACTTTGTATGACAGACAACATAATAAATCAAAAATCAATAAATTATTCTTAGACTAGGATCCACCAACTAGTATAAATGACATGACAATGACACTCAATCATTGATATGAAAGTTTTGTCAGTATGGCTACGATCCTTCGCCTGTCCATGTACGAAACAAACTCTACTACCTACCTATTATTCATTTTTTTTTTTTTTTTTTTTTTCAGTATGGACTTGTTCCGTTATACACGGAAAGAACAATGGCCATTTGCCTAACATGCTTGGACTAGTAAAATCGTATAAAACGTAACTTGATGAAACATATGTTATTTTGTTTGCCTATGCAACTAGAACAAAGAAAGACATTAAATATATTTTTAAAAGCTGGGAGTATCGAGTAATTGTGTAATATGCTTTTGAGGTTATGTCGTATTATTTAAACTGTAGCATTTTGAGTTAGAGGTATTACTGTTGAAAAATGTAAAGCACACGTCAGATAATGCCTAATCGTAATCCTAGAAGTGCATACTTTCACATAATACTTCAAACTTGCTCCATATCTGATAAATTATTTTTATTGACTGTAAGAAATAAAATCATTTTTTGTGAACCAATGAACTTCAAAAACAATAATAGAATTTTTAAGATTGCTCTCAATAACTCTACTTTTCTATCTTACACTATAACTTATATAAAGTAGTAGTGAAAATACTAATTCCAAAAGGATATAGCAAAACAACATGTTGATTTTTCTTTTCTTTATTACAACTCTAATGAATACGGAATCCTGCAGGAGCAGCTATATTCTGTTCGTGTCTGGCCCATCCAAGATACCAAACTATGATCATCATATGAGCACAGCATCCCAGTGTACATCGACCAATTAGTACACATAATATTGTTTCCTCCCAATGTCTCGACTAAATTCTACCGATACGACTTTATTTATATTTAAGTCTAATTCTAATAAATCCAGAAAATCCGGTATTTCTCTCCAGACCTCAATTCTATACTTCCCATGGATCCTAGTATGCTCCCCATAATACAGAAGATAATACAAAATCACCGCCAAAGTTACAAAACGGTCTGCGTAGAAACCGTCTACACATACTTGTCTAAAAAGAGAGGTCGCAATCGACTGCATACTGTAATATCGATTCTTATGAATAATCATTTGTTTTTAATTTAATTATAAATAAACTATTTTCCTCTAAGTAACATCTAATTATATTAGTAATCTAATCTAAGTTTTATAATTTTCACGGATTTATATGGTTCTTAAATAATATAAGATTTGTATCAAATTCGATTAGTCAGAAATAAAATCGATCTTGTTCTTTGAAAAGAGAGGGACTTCTCTAGGAATGACATTATTAATAAGATGCGTTCAAAAATAACATAATTTAAACTGCGTTCTAAAAAAATAAAGACATATTTTAGAGAGGATTATCTTTCTTTTCCCAGCTTTTAAAAATAAATTGTTGGTATATAATAATTACATTCAACTTATACTACATTTTGGTGATAGTTCCATCTTGGTACAAGAACTTTTTTTTCGTAGTCCATTTTGACCATTGTTCTTTTGCCAACATCCCGTAGTGAGAGAGACACGTGATTTAAGGTACTCTTTGGATTTAAGAGACTGAACGATAGTTATAATTAAATATGTACGGTAATTAATCAATTCTTCCTTGAGATTGTTCTTTCTCTACTAAAAAAAAAAAACAACTACAATAATTTAAATACATAAAAGGACAACGCAAAAGCAAATAAAACTATAACTACAATATTTAAATACATAAAAGATAAATTTGTAACACTTACTTTTATAATTTGATATCATGTTTTTTAATAAATTTGCAAAGACGTAGAAAGCCAGGTTTGTCGGAAATAGTAAGAAGAGAGTTAAGATTAACTGGACGGGGAGTTTTAGGTGGGAGTTGATTATATAAAGACGGATACTTTTGACAGTTAAAAAAAATGTGATCAGTGGTACCTTCTTCAATTCCACATTCACAAACAGAGCTATTCAAAATTCGAATCTTTGCAAGAAAAACGGGAGTAGTTACATGTCCAAAACGAAGACGACATATGGTAGTGACGATACGTCTGGGAATATCACGGAATTTATAGAACCAAGGCTTACTCGGCACAGAATTTTGTAAGCTACCATAATGTCGTCCTATTATTCTACTACCTACCTATTATTCATTGACATAATGACATTGACATAACATTTACCAAAACTGAGTTCTCTACACAAAATTGGACGAAATAACTACAGATCGTATTATTATTTGTCGATATTTATTCTGTTATATTTTCTAAATGGGGTCACGGCAAATAGTAGAAAAATCATTGACATTACTAAGATCCTTGCCGCGAATTTCGCTAAATAATATTCGTGATAACCCTGGCTCAAAAAAGACCGTAAGTAAAGCATGCTTTTAGTTGTATTTCTGACACGAAGACTTGAAGTACTTAAATTTTGAGATAGATTGAGTGAGCAAATGATCAAACCATTAGCGATTAAACTAATATGTATGATACTTTTATAAAACTATATTTCTTTCACTAGATTGACTAACAAGCACTTTTTAAATATAAAATATCTAAGTCAAATGTAATTTTATAAATTAGTTTAAATATTATAGAATTAGATTATGCAACCGGTCTCACATTCAAAATGCAATCGTATTGAAAACAAATCAGGTTTTTATTTTTCAGTCATTATAATGCTAAATTAATTGACTCCTACTATAACTAGTTCTGAACATTTTTTTAACATTTTCTGATGTTTAGCATCCTTTCTAGGCTCAATGGTCACAAGTGACCCTTTAATATTTACTATTTACTAAATAAAATTTAATCATACAATTATAATATATTCACAATTTTACTAAGTATATTAGAACACCTTTTGAATGTTTGTACTGCTGTTATAGCAAAAGAGAGGACGTGGGCAACATGGAGGTGACAAACATGGTAGTGGCAATAAAGGATCTGGCCAGAGGCAAAATTTTATGAGATTGGGCTATGAAACTGGAAATAACCCATTCTACCTAAGAGTACCACAAGAGCATTATTACAGAGGCCATCAGTGAGTTTACCTGCTTTCTAATTGTTTATTTAATAATAATCAATTATTTATCTTTTATTAAAGATTTTATTAGTCTAGTAAATATTTATTGTGAACTTACAAACTAGATTTTACTTATCAATATACCAAGAATGTTTAAAAAAGGTCATGGATAGTCTTCAGGATAATGTTGCTACTGACACATACTCTGTCTAGTAATAAAGCTACTCTATTATTTTTTAAAGAAAGAAGAGATATGTATAATCAAGTCTTTGTTTTGTTAATGTTAAATCTGATTGGTTTTTATTGTTTAGCTGTTAAAGCCTTATAAGACTTATATGACTGACTTTTGTGAAGGTTGGTTACTTTTATAGAAATTCCTAAATGCTTAAAAAGCATTTTACACTGTTAACTGTGAGCTATGGTTCCTATGTAATTTACTCTTTACATAATATTGGTATCTTAACAGGCATATCAATAAACTAATGATGATATTTTTTTTTTAGTCATAGAAGACAATATCCACCTTTATCACTATTAACGTTACAACGCATAATAGACACAAATCGTGTAGATGTCACAGTTCCTATTGATATCGCAAGTATTGTGAAAACTGGCTTTTACTCCTTTTTTCCTGACCAAAAACACTTTGGTATCAATTTAATTGATGAAGGGGTGGATATTTTTGAAGCAAAAATTAATATAGAGGTGCAGTGGGCTAGTGAACAAGTCATTGCAGCAATAGAAAGAAATGGTGGCGTTATTACAACAGCATATTATGATCCTCATAGCCTATTTTTACTTAGAAATCCAAAAAAGTTTTTTGAAACTGGTCAAGCTATTCCACGTAGAATGATTCCTCCACCAGATGCAATAGAGTATTACACAAGTGCAGAAAACCGTGGCTATCTTGCCGATCCTGATCAAATATCAGAAGCCAGATTAAAATTAGCTCAAAAATATGGATATAAACTACCTGTCATTGAAAATGACCCCAAATACAATATGCTTTGTGAAAGAAAAGATCCAAGACAAATTTTCTATGGACTAGAACCTGGGTGGGTTGTAAACCTAAAAGATGAGTGTATACTAAAACCGAAAGATGAAGAATTGAAAAGATTTTATTCTTTATAGATATAATTAAGGTAGGACAAATAAATGTGTAGTCTTTAATAATGTTTTTAATTATGTATATATATTTATACAGCAACTCCAGCCAGTGCCACCCTCTTTAATTTTAAATTAATACTTGATGGATCTAATTCCTTATTTATCAACCCAGGACATAGCGGCTTAAAATGTTAAGCATAGCGGTGATAAATAGTAAATTAAATACGTTTAGATATCATTAATAAAATGTTGTGTTGCTGGTGCTGCTACGATGACATCGGTCTGGTAGCGCCCCGCTATATACCAAATCTAGCCATAAATTCTGTTACTGGCTGTTTACATACATCAAAAAAATATATTAATTTGAATTATGAACATTAGCTTTTACGATAAAAAAATTGACTTCTTTCCCGCCATTATTGTATGTTTTTTGTTTTGAAAATGGAGTGGGACAATAAAGAGAATAGGATTGCAATAATTGAACAGTGGTTCAAAGTAGGTAAGGAGCCAGCCAACATTTTTGATACATTGAAAAAGCTAGGGATTAGCCAAATGTTTTTGTATCATACCATCCAAAGGTACACTTAAACCATGTCTGTTGTCGATCGTGAGAGATCCGGCCGTCCGCGGTCTACTCGAACAAACCAGGCCATTAATGCAGTTAAGGTCAGAATACCATATGGAAGCAGAAAATCCTTTCCATAGAAATGAGAATCCCACCGAGGACACTTTCTCGGATTATCAAACAAGACTTGGGTCTAGGGACTTACCGGAGATGCACAGGACATACCTTTTTGCGAAAAAGGTAAAGGTAAGGTAAGTGAAAACTTCAGTCAAAGTGTATCAAGATACCCTGTTAGAAGCGGTAGTTAAACCTCTCAACATAATTCAAAAAGTTCAAAAATGAAGTATGGACATTCCTACAGGATTCAGCCCCGGGTCATAAGGCGCGCACTATTCAAATTTGGCTTGAGCAAAATGTTCGAGATTTAATAAAGGCTGATGATTGGCCCTCGGCTAGGCCGGTCTTAAACCCTTTGGACTATAAATTGTGGTATGTGCTATAGGACATGGCCTGCTCTAAGCGTCACCCAAATATTGAGTCGCTCAAGAAATATTTGTAGGCAGCAGTGACCAAGTTTCCAATGGAAACCGTTCATAAATTCGGCGACGAATGGCCAGACCGTTTAAGTGTGTGTTAAAGCTAAGGGTGGACACTGAATAAATAGTTTACATAATCAGTAGTCACATATAAAACTTTAAAATAAAATAATTTTATTAGAAGTTATCGGGTATTTTCTTTGTAACAGAACTTATGACTAGACTAGGTATATATCTTCTAAAGTTTAGATATTTATGCTAAAATGATATAGTTTAGGATCTAAACTATATCAAGTCATTTTAGCATGAATTCAAAGTTTGCCATTGAAAGCATTGCAAATTGAAAGTTTGGCATCTACTTAAGTTTGGCATATAATCACTCTAGTTAGAGTACTATGAAATGGAATAAATTACGCAATTCACCTCAGCAGCCACAAAGCCACAAAAGTATTCCAATGCAATATGGAATGTTTTAGTCTCATATTATTGTATCCGACTACTGTTGTAACGTGATCAAACCTTGAATAGTTTCATTATGAATAGTATCTACTCTTTTATATTATTGTTAAATTTTGTTCCATATCGAGGCCATATTGAGACACGGTTCTGTCATTATTGGCCGTAATTATTAGATCTTTCTTACACCCACCGAGAAGCTGTAGTCTCCCCTTCGATGTTAAAAGTCAAATGTGTAACGCCTGGCGAATTGTATTGGCATCTACTTAAGTTTGGCATATAATCACTCTAGTTAGAGTACTATGAAATGGAATAAATTACGCAATTCACCTCAGCAGCCACAAAGCCACAAAAGTATTCCAATGCAATATGGAATGTTTTAGTCTCATATTATTGTATCCGACTACTGTTGTAACGTGATCAAACCTTGAATAGTTTCATTATGAATAGTATCTACTCTTTTATATTATTGTTAAATTTTGTTCCATATCGAGGCCATATTGAGACACGGTTCTGTCATTATTGGCCGTAATTATTAGATCTTTCTTACACCCACCGAGAAGCTGTAGTCTCCCCTTCGATGTTAAAAGTCAAATGTGTAACGCCTGGCGAATTGTATCGGCAGAAAGGTAAATTAATCATAGCAAACGCACAGTCCAAACCACAATTCGGAAGGAGTTACACAAATAACTTTGATCTACATATCGACTAAAACACGTAGTAACTGATCGTTAGTATTCTAATGTTACTATTCATTTATTTGCGATGGGTAGTTTTTTTTATTCACCACCTTCGACTTGATGATGGTTCTTCGACGTTGATTATGAATAACAGTTCAAAATCATTAAAAGCAGGTGTTATTCTTAATTTATTTTGAATATGTACACAAAATAAAATACATCATAGCAGATTACAATGATAAATGCATAAAAATCAAATTATCATGTTGGCAACTTAATGACTTTTATTTTAATGCATTGTTTATTGATTTTCTCTTCTCCTCCAGTTAACTACTTTTATTAATATCTGTAATGGTCAGGTTTATAAGGTCCTTCAACAGGAACGCCAATATACTTCGCCTGTTTTGTTGTAAGCTTTGTAAGTTTCACACCAAGATGGTCCAAATGTAAAGCAGCGACTTCTTCATCCAATTTCTTAGGCAAAGTATGGACACCGACGGGATACGCATTGTGTCGGGTCCAAAGTTCAATCTGAGCCAAAACTTGGTTAGTAAATGAATTCGACATAACAAAAGAAGAGTGACCAGTAGCACAGCCCAAATTTACCAGTCTTCCAGCTGCGAGAACGATAATATGATTTCCATTTTCGAGTTCATAGCGATCCACTTGTGGTTTGATATTAACCTTTTTGGCGTTGTTTTCTAACCAAGCTACGTCAATTTCGCAATCGAAGTGACCGATATTGCAAACAATTGCATCATCTTTCATTCGTAGGAAATGATCTTTATTTATAATGTCAATGTTCCCTGTTGTTGTAACAAATATCTGTCCTGTTTCTGAAGCTTCTTCCATTGTAGTCACATGAAAACCTTCCATCGCTGCTTGAAGGGCATTAATTGGATCAATCTCAGTAACAATAACTCTACCTCCAAACCCTTTGAATGCTTGAGCGCAACCTTTTCCAACATCTCCGTATCCCGCAACTACACATACTTTTCCAGCTATCATAATGTCAGTTGCCCTTTTTATACCGTCAAGTAACGACTCTCTGCAGCCATATAGATTGTCAAACTTACTTTTCGTAACAGAATCGTTCACATTAATGGCCGGTACTTTTAGTGATCCTTCTTTGAACATTTTATACAAGTTATGTACACCAGTAGTAGTTTCTTCTGATAGTCCTTTGACACCATCTAGTAGATGGGGGTATTTTTTGTGCACCAAATTAGTGAGATCCCCTCCATCATCCAAAATCATGTTTAGAGGCTGGAAAGATACGAGAGTATGATTCATTATAATCCTTGCGACAGTTACATAAAAATTGAAAAAAAATTAAAGATACAAGTGGATACGAAATGAATGTCAGATTTAGTGTTATATTTTTTGGCAATAAATTTTCTATAAAACTTCACAAGAAGAATATATTCTGCTCAAATAAACTTATTATTTTAGTGGGTATATTTTTATTGATAAAATAATTCATGTGGAAAACCAGCACTTTATAGCTCTTTTCAGTCATTTGTTTTATTACAGAATTAGGGTTACGATATTTCAAGTACACTTCTGAAATAAACTTTTGAATCGTTCAACGATTGTCTGAACCAACAAACAGCTGACTTTGGAAGACAAATTTTTATTCTTAGGGAATCGTCTCGTTTATTGCGACATCAGATGTTGGCATATTACTATTATATTTTCCTACTACCCAATAGGATATCATTTATATGAGCACTAAGTTCACAAAGCAAAAGACTTCTGACACAGAAGCATATTCACTCAATAGTTACGGACATCTTAATTTTATTTCAGTATACATTTAAATAAAAAATAATAAGCATATAACAGACCATTATCAACACCATTATCATGAATAAAGTTAAAAAACCTTTATCATTAATATAACAAAAAGTTATGGTCAACTGAACTTAAGCAAAAATCCAAATGAAAACAGTCATGTGTTTGAATAATAGATTTTAAACAAAGTTTTTAAACATGTATACTTTTCCAGTAATGTGATATCAAGTTCTCACTCTGATTTTTGATTTTCTGATTTCAATTACAATAATTTAAATTTGTACACAGAGAATAAAACTCAGTAGTTATCACAAATTATAAAAAACTTTTTTAACTTATCAATTACCTTTCCATCAGAAAATATTAGAGTTTGTTCAATGCACCATGTGTACTCTTCTTCGGTTTCTCCTTTCCAGGCGTAAATTGGTATACCTCGAGCAACCAGAGCAGCTGCAGCCTCATCTTGGGTGCTGTAGATATTACTACTTGACCATTGAACCTAAAATGAAGCAATTTTTATAGCAATATAAATTGTTACACCGAAATGAACATTTATATGTTGTACCATGTAACCAAAAAAACCTTTACAGGAATAACTGGCCCTAGTTCCTAGAATTCTAGTACCTATTTTAGATAGGGCCCTACCATAGTATAAATATATAAGTAGGTGCACTCGAGACTCGAGCGGGAGATAATAGCCTAAACACGTAGGGCTGTCGCTTACAGGTTATTTAATCGTCAGAAATGCATGTTCAATCAATCTCTAAAATATAGTTGGTAAGGTAAACCGTATGGTAAGCATCCGGGAACTACAATTAAATTTTTTAATGTTTTTTTTTTAACATAGATCAGGAGCTGACTACATTTTTTCATACCTACGTCATGTCATCATTTTAGATTTGTAAAATTAAAACGTGGTTTTAATGAATTATGTATTTATTCATATTTTCCAAATAATCAGGCTACGATCAAAATAAGATAATGCCGATCTTAATTTTTAATAATCATGTGCTTTGTACAAACAGTTTCTATCAATGGCCTATATTTTTTTATATTACATTGTCTAATACGCAAATATACATTCAATATTAATTTCAATTTGACCGTATACGGGCATAAAGATTTAACAAATTAATATACAAATGAACTGATAAACAAAATCTTCAGCAGAAATAATTCATAAACACTTTCGATGGGTAAATAGTTACACAATATTATAATAAATTACCCGAATACCTAAAGAACGAAATACGATATACTTGATCTATAAAAATGTGAAATACCATATACTAATGCTTATACAATATTTTGGTTTAGTTTTCAAAGCTATCTTGTTTACGTCCAGAAATTTTATAACGAGCGGCAATACAGCGACGCGAGATATACGCAAGCACGGCGTACTAATCACGACTGGCGAGCAGCCACTTGTGTCTTGAACTTCTATAACTTCGATAATTTTGTAAGTGTGTGTGCGACGACGCATACGCACGGGCGCGCTCACATACAAACCAATTTCGGTACGTGTGTATGAAGAGCATTTACTCTTATACTCTGGCGCTACTAATTTATTAATTTTCATCAACACATTCATTTTCATCATAATCCTATTTGTTTACTGACTGATTTCTTCAAATTAGCTGTCATTCAGTCAGCCAATATTAAAGTAAGTAAAAGGTACCTACAGCAACGCATCAGGTTTTTTATGAAAGGTCAAATTCAATTTCGAAACTAATTAGCAACTGATAAGTGAAAATAAAAATTAATGCAACATTATAAAAAAAATTAACGAACCAATATTTAATTTGAACAGGTACTTGGCATTAAACTTCTATCGTGCAATCATGCCCAATAAAGTAGCTTAAGGTACAAAATACAATATGGACAAAATTGGCTTTTTGGTAAAATTGATAAAAAAAACTTTAAAAATATATTAAGATATTAGTAAACATAAATAGAATAAGGATACACCAAATCCTTATCTATAGCATGAATATATTATTATTATTATGTTTATTATTTCCAGCATATCATTGATAAACTCCAGGCCAAAGGTAAGAGGCCATCATTTGAATATCTGACTTGTACTACAACATAACAGTTTACATCATAATTTCGTAATGATATAACATTGTTTGGTGTGTCATTTGTTGCTTATTTCTTTTTACATCATAGGTATTCATTAGTTCACATTTTTGTCAAAGTCCACAATTTTCTCTCTAGACAGTTTTTTTTTAATATGCCACTTACTAATAAGCCCAAGTAAATTATTATATGATACCAATTTCATTTATTTAATATTGAATACCAAGATCACACTATTTTTGCCCAGAGCAGCTTATTAGCTTGATAAAGCCTGATAACATACCTATTATTGTTTAATTTAATAAGTTCATAACTCGGTAGCAGGAAAAAAGGAAACCTAATCAGTGCTGAAGATTAGCACATAAAAGTTTAAGTACCATTTCAAAATGGGCCAAAAAAATATATTTAAGAATTTTTTTTTGAACCTATCATAAAAATTAGCATTTAAGTAGTTTAAAACGGGTAAAAAAAAAAAACGATATTTATAATAAATATTGAGAATGATTGTTCACATTGGGTTGGTTAATTTTCTAAGTAAGACTTAATACTTAAACTAACAATAAATATTATACATATCACTTGATATATATCTGTTGATATTTATCAATGCATACTGGTTTAAAATAAAACTTAGGTATTTCAATTTTCGAAAATCAGTTGTTAGACAATTTACTTACAAATTAAAAATCCTTTATTTATATACAATAATTTAGCGAGACCAAGATTTGAGGTGGGAATGAAGAAGTATTTAAAAAAAACGAAAGCACTTCCACTAGATGGCGACTTAAGCAAAAGTTGTTTTGCGCAGGAAACGAATGGACCAAAGACAGTCATTTCTGTTCCTTTTAACTAACATATTAAAAAACTTAAATTTGAAAAGTTCGAAACTTAAATATCAATACAAATACGAAAAAGTACAAATAGAATATGAGTTGTTTATTGAGTTTTGAAAACTAATTTACTTTCAAACTTGAAAGAAAACCGGAAAGGTTGTAATGGAGAAATCAAAAACATACCGTAGCTACATCTAATTTGATTTTGAGAACTAATGTTTTTTTTTTAATACTTCCTCATTGAAAAATTACTTATAAATTTTGACACCCCGAGGGACCAGCATACACTGATATAAAGGATTGACACCCTGTTTCTGAATTGAGAATTTAAAGTTAAGCATGACTCATACCATACTTAAACATATCAAACATCACTTGAAACGGGTTTTGTTTCTGACTTTAGTTTGATAAAATTAAGACTGTGCCATGTGTTTTGCAAAGTTTTTGGGAACAGTTGTGATTTTGTACTTTTCTCTATTCAGAAATCCTAATAATCCTATCCTAATATGTCCTACATTTTGTGACATAATGCATTATAAAAATGATATTTGAACTTTGGTATTTCATAACAAACTATAATTGTAATATAACTGATAATATAGAAATAATAGAAGAGTTTATACATACTTCAGCACCAAGCTCAATTAAGGTTTCAATAAGTACAGCTGTCTGAACAGTCATATGTAAGCTGCCTGCGATCCTGGCCCCTTTGAGGATTTTACTAGGAGCATATTTGCGACGGCATGCCATCAGGCCAGGCATTTCTTTTTCAGCAAGCATAATTTCATTGCGACCCAACTCAGCCAGTTTCTCATCAGCTAAAGTAAAGAATATATTAAATTATTATAAAAACAAATTTTTGATATAAAGAACAGTTTCTATCAGTTAATATTACATATCTACAATTAAAAGGTCACTTTATCCATTCAACATTTTGGTGATACTATAAAACACATGTTTAAAATTTTTGTTATCACTATAGCAATTGGCACCTCTGTCAAATTGTCTTAACTTTAAGATCATCAACAAAATCTAAAGCTTCACTATTATTAAATCATCATTATATAAATGCTTTGGCATTTAGCTCATTTTAGTACATTTCAGGGATTTCATTTGTACTTTATTCAATTTTATTGTTTGATTCTCTTAAATTACATTAAAATTTTTGTCATATAGTTATCTACATATCAATCATTGGGAGATAAGGCTTATCGTCCATACTGATAAATAGACAGTTCACAAGCATCTTCACTGATTAAACAACTAATCTGATAAGTGTTCTGATCAGTGGACTTGATAAGGTGTTCCGATCAGTAGTCAGTAAGTGAGGGCAATTGTCTATACTATCTATTATACAATTATAGAAATAAACTTTAGAATTTTATTGCACCCTCTTTACAAACCAAAATAATTCATAATTAATTATTTTATGTAACGTTTTCTTAAAATTATCCCTATAAAAATATTTAATGGGATAATAAGTAACATAAAATTATGTTAGTCAAAGCTCAGAATTATCTTTAAGCGTTATGTAGTTTTAGGGAGAAGAAGTAACAAACATCCAAATCTACAATCTTTCGCCTGTAGAATAATAAGATACCTAATCATTACATACTTTCAAGTCGCATGGCTATAACCTGCTATAACCTAATATAAACCTTTTTAAATAAAAAATAATAAATCACCATTAAGCAACAGTATGTATCCTATTTAACTTTTCGTGTAATTTAAGTGATAAAGAACATGAATAAGGACTAAATTAAAGATATAATGGGAAACACTTAAACTCACCGATTTTGTATGGTGGTTTCATGTTGCTTTTTAAGATTGATTATTATTCTGTAAACGCTGATCCAACTCCTGAAAACAACAATGTTTTACGTATGTGTAGGGTAGGTCTTCCAATTAGGCAATTATATATTTTATTTAACAAATACTTACTGCACGCCGTCACAAATCGCCGACCAAAATAAAATGAATGACAGACAAACACGACACAGCATACGGCGGACTGACCGACCGCGACCGAACTAAAACGAATGGAACGAAAGTAAGAGTGAGTGACACAAATCGAATATAGATACTGAAACGTATATTTTATTAATATTGTAATATCCGATATCGATGCGCACAGAAACTATATATTTTTGAAACGAAGAGTCATATCCAATTTTAACCAAAAAATTTACTGACGCGTCTAGTGATGTGATATATCTCAAAATGTAGCTTATTTCTTACTTATTTCATGTCATGTAATAGTCTTAAAATTAAAGAGGATAAATATTTTCAAGTTACCCTTATTCGATTCGGACCCTACAATGATGGTTCGCTACACTATCCCAATGCGATTCAGACTGTAAATTATCAGTAATGGTAATTAAACACGATCTTTAAAAAAAACAGGTGACAGGTCAATCAATGTATGGAAAGTGGACATGATTCTTTGCTGCATCGAGCGATACCGGATTCGGTATCTCGCTCGATATTCAATATTTATAGATATAGGATATCAAATATTCTTAGTATTCAAAACCTTAGTCTAATAGTGTTAAGGTTGCTTCTATACTTTTCTGTGATTTTTAATATATTTAATTCTGTGAAGAATACGAAGCATAACGAAAGAGCATGCTCGTGAATAAGCATACTAGTCATAGATAATATACTAGTTAATCGCACGCCGGTTTATTTTCCCGTGCAAAATTAGCAAGTGTAAAGCTACTTGGTTTGTTTTGCTTCTTGTTTGTGATTGTGTTCACGATGGAATAGCTTAGTCCTTTCTGCTAATATTTTCACTTTTACACGGGCATCTTCGAGTACAAATTTCTCGACGAATTTTCTTCAGTGGGGGTACCTACTAACCGGCCCACCGGCACGGCGGTCGTCTTCAATGCTCTCTCAACCCCGTTTAAATTCATTTGACCACTTCTGAATTGTAGATAATGAAGGCGCAGAATCTTGGTTTACAGCCACCATTTCTTCGTGGAATTACTTTTTGAGTCTTTCCTTGTTTTGTGAGGCACTTTTTATCACAGCGCGATGCTCGATTTGTTCATCAGCTATCGTAGAAGTTGCGTTGGAAAGCATGTCAGGAGGATTGTTTTGTTCCTATGGTTGGAATCGAATCGAGTAGGATCAATGGTCCATAACGTACTACGGGGGCCCAATGCGAATTGGTGGGTGTTACGACTACTGATGCAGCCGAGACCAACGATTTAACTTACATTCCGAAACACGGAGGAGCCCAAGATAATAATGTTTTGGTCATCCATCCTGTGAACGGCCCTTACGATTGTTATTTTTCTTTATTTTTTCTCACCTCTCTCTACTCTTGTGAATGACCATTTTTATCGTGTACTCGTATTAGTGATACTTACGCTGTCTCAACTGTTCTTTAATCCATATTCATTCAAAATGTTATTGGTTTATCTGTCTAGTTGTATTCGCAATCTTTTATTTGTCATACTTTTCCATCCAATGCTAGGTTCCCTGAAAGAAATCGCTGGCTAGCGCTAAGTTTATCTTTAGTGCATAGTTATGAATGTTATGTATGAAAAAAATATATTTTCTTGTTGTGCAATAGACTATACTTACTTAACCGCAACGTAAACCGAATGCGCTAACCTCTAATCTTAAAAAGAGGCATTCATTGTTTTGTTTTACATCGAATTTGTTCCTAAACCACTAAACCGATTTTAAAAAATCTTGCACCTATGGGAAACAACGTCATACTCGTGTAACACAGGTTAAAATTTACGCGGCTAGTTAACAGTTAATTAAATACGTACACTTGTGGGGTACAGGCAGGTTGAAGGCAACACTGATTGGCGATAATTGAAACTATTTTCTCGCTCTCTATACTGCAAAGTTCGAGCTCTTTTAGAGCTCAAATTTTTCTCAAATGTTTCAGACTCAAGCAATACGGCGTATGTGTTACGATCAGCAGTTAGATGTGCTAATTTATCTTCAGGAGTTTTCTGAGGGCTCAAGATATTTTCCCTAACAATGACTGCTCCAGATTCAACTTGATAATGCATAAGCGTCGCGATGGGCATTTAAAACTCTTCAAGAGCTCAAGCGATTTTGTTTGTCAATAAGTCTTACATGCCGCCACGTATCTTTCGTCAGACATGCGCGTCCTATTTGTCGCAGAACGTCAGAAAACTAAAAGAATAGGTAAATTATATTAAATTCGACCTTGCAAACTACGGAAATCGTGTACTAATATATACTTCCATGAGATGCTTGACTGAGCTCCATCAATAACCGACCTTCCGACTCATGTAACATTGCATGAGTCACATGAATAAGCCGGTAAAAGTATCTGCCGAGACGCGAACTTAACTTTTTTTTAACGTCGAGGAAATGCTTGTGGCTCTGTTCCAGTTGCCCAGCAAGCAACAGAGGGTGCAGCCGAGTCACTAGACACTCAAGTTGCGATGGGACCATTGGTTCCATCGCAGATGGAGAGGTACGGGTCCATCAAGAGCCTCTCCCAGATAGGTGAGGCCCTGCAATACAAAGGTGGCTGCCATCCACCTCAGCTAGCCTCGAAGATTTAAACTTAACCTGATAAGGATTTACTATCGAAAACCTTATACTACGTGCGTTCCCTGTAGACTACTGTTTTCGCTTAATCTTCCCGCGTGATCTTATAAGTGCGCGTTTCCCATAAACAACACCTATATGTATATGATCAATCATATTTAATGTGATTGGTCACATATAATTGAAATCAACTTACATTGCAGTATCCAAAATATTGAAACTTATTTTTTTATTTATATTCATATAAATTATAATTTTACAGGTAATATAATAACGTAGCTCGGTAGCGCAACGGATAAGTGCCGCTACCCACGATTGTTATTGTTATGCAATTTTCGCATGGGTTTTTCACGGGATGGGTGACCAAAAAATTATTAACCATAACAAAAACAAGTTGTATAACTTCTAAATGTTTTATTACCATAGAACAGTTTACATAGTAATCAGTAATAGTAGTCAAACCAAAAACTAGTAAGTTAACAAAATGATTGTTGATTTTTGATTCGCGCAGGAAAAGTGGGTGGTATTCATCGACTGGATGCCTATGATTCTAAATCAGAACCTTTCATGGCATGGCACTAGTCCTCACACATACTCCTCCTATCATACTAAAAATAGAGTACATACATGTTTCGGAATTCTGATAAAACTATTAATACTTAACTTCCAAAATTACCTTTAAAATGTGTACATAAAATATATAAACACTTCCATTTATGCAGTAACACAGACCAGATAAGTATTAATACACATCTCATAAAAAATCTTGCATAATTCGCGCAAACATCATCCCTGTCAGTGATGCTCACAGACTAGCAGACACTCAGTTACAGATTCAAAATATTTATTGCTGTCAAATATTTAAGGTCCTTCACCACTGTAATGTATATTTTGTTTAATAACCATCTTAATATACGTAAGTGCAAATTGATTTCGTTCTGATATTTTTTTTTTATAATTTCCTTAATGGTTATTGACGGATTCAAATTACATATGTTAAGTTTACAAAATTTAATGGCACAGCATTTATTATCATTGGATAATTTGCAAACAAAAATTACCATTACAAAACTTTTCTTAATATAATTCGGAATGAAGTTTTACTAGCTCTTAACTGTATTTTGTGTTACTGTGATGCAGGCAGTTAGTTTCGCTAGATCAATGCTCTCATAAAAATCCACGTTTGGGATAGTCTATATGTAGACCCAAAACTTCAGTCCTATATCTTTATTTAAAATAGTGGGACTTCACAGTAAGCACCATCATTAACATCAATATCAAATTGGAGATTCATGCTGGAATTTCAATAATTCAGAATTAAGTGTATTTTTTTTTACAATGTAGATACTGTAATGTTTGTGTACCTTATAAAAATCATTTAATTTTACACATTATAACTATAGTATGGTCAATAATTAATTGCCGCTCTATTAACATTGGAAAAGAACTTTTAATTACATATGTACAAATAACGCAACGATGAGATTAGAAGGCATAACTTTCTGTTCATCACATAAATCTGAGACGAAAAGTAGACAATACATAGTGGAATTAGTAAACAAAAAATATAACATTATTAGAACGACCAGCGAATGTTAATGTGTAATAAAACGAAACGGAAACCATTATGTATAGTAACGCACACGATCAAATTAATTGTGATGAATAGAAAGCAATAATCACCAATATGGCGTCCTTCGTCTCTTACAATGTTGACGGAATCTTATACATTACACCGACTTTCAACAACATTAACACATGCCTAAGTTTACAAAATATCTGCAATAATCAAGCACGCATCAACCGATCATACTTATTCGAACATTTCAACCTTTCATACATCTTACGAAAGAATAATAATTTATAAAATTCACAGTCCCTTGCACATGTGCATGCCTAAATTAACATACTTCAACTTTCATACTATCATCTTCCATAATATCACTTTTATTTCATATAAGTAAAGATACCACAGCCACTGTCTGTATTTATAATACCAAATAGGAAAAAATGCTTTTTTATTTAAGATTATTGTGAGATAATTATGGCCAGGCAATTTTATAGTTTTTAACTATGCAGTAGGTGCATCGATTTAATATTATTAAATCATAAATATTAAAATTATATCATACAATCATCAGATAATTTTCCAATATGCAGAAATTTACATTGGTTTAAATCGTAATGATTCCGTTGAATTATTTTATGAGACAAAAATAATTTTGATTAAACAAATCAGTAATATTCTATTAGAGAAGCATTGAGCAAGAAAATAAATGCACCTAACGCCATAAGGTTAACAAAATGACATAAGTGTTACCTCATGTAATCACGACCTGCCAATATAATGCATTTTAAATTACCAGCAATAAGTTGTTTGAATTTGCGTTACATCAGTGCGGTACCATGAAGTTTCAAATCTGAAAAAAAAGAAAGCGATTTTTTTAATACTATGTGGTCATCGTAACTGTAGATGCAGACACATACAAATACAAAATATTGTTGTGAAAATAAAGGCGTATGTGACGTATGATTTTGCATAGGCAGCAGACCAATATTTTTTTGTCTGTTCGTCGGTAGATTATTGAAGAATATTAGACACGTATCTTTATAAATGTTTTGAGTGATCAATAAATTACTTCGATACATTGAGTTGAAATGTCGCATGACGTCACAACTTTGTACATATTGTGATGTTGCGAGATCCCACTCCTTAACTTTAATGCCTATTGTCTAAGACACTTCTTGTTAAATTGAAGCAAAAAATAACGTACTTAATATTTTTCTATCATCTGTCTGACTGGATTAATTAGAATTTCGTTTTTTTCACACAGTCATCATCAATAGTAGATATTGTCTACTACTCGTACGATAGTAGGGCGGAGAAGGTGGTCCTCCGGTCCTGGGGGGCCTTCCAAAAGGGCAGCAGCCATCCGCCAAAATCATAATACTATAATAAAATTAAAAACGTATGGGGGGTTGTAAACGCAATGAAACTTTGTTTTTTCTCTTTTATAATTGAATTTGTCGATCCGGGCCTATTACCAGCTAGTGTTATCTCCATAGTAGCCCCGTTGGCCAGCGCCTTGGTGCGTGGTGTGCGCGTGCGTCTCGCCACGCATATTCCCTAAAAGATATTGTACTGACCAGCTAGTGAGCGGCGTCTGCTGCTTGAGCCTGCGTATCTCCTTAGTGGCCCAGTTGGCCAGCGCCTTGGTGCGGGGTGTGCGCGAGCGCCTCGCCGCCTGCAGCAGGTCCAGCAGCGGGTGCGTCTCGAGCAGCGGCAGCATGCGCGCGCCGAACACCGTGCAGAGGTCACCGGTGAGGCCCGCGATCGCGGACATGTGGCCGTCTGTACGCTCCGGCTCGCACGCCACTTGGATCATGAAGTTCACGATGGCTGGCACGTGAGGCTCCACCAATGCGACGTCCGACCGAACCTGACGTAGGCAATTTGTATATGTAGCTTCTTTCGTTAACGGAATATTTATCACGACCATCAAACAGATATTATGTAGTCTGTTCCAAAGGCAAGTGGAAAAAACTGGTAAAGTCGGAGGGGTGCACGAAGGGTGCCGTACTGATAATAGCAAAATAAAAACACGTTTTTTGTACAAAAGCCCTCTTAAATACTTATTTCATTATTTTTTTATTGTATTTGTTGTAATTTATATTTTTAATTATTTGTTGTTGAAGCAGCAACAGAAATAGATCATATGTGAAAATTTCAGCTGTCTAATTTTCAAGGTTCGTGAACTGGGTGAACATACAGCTTGGTGACAGACAGACAGCAAAATCTTAGTAATATGGCTCTAACACTGAATATCCCTGAATATAAATATAAACTGAACATTTACACTAATATTTATTTACTTAAACTTCTTTTCGCAAATAAAGCGTAAAAATACTTAGTGCTAAAAGGGATTATCTACCAGTCAACCAGAGAGTTATGAAATAGAGGCTAATAAGGAGGCACTACAAGAAATGATTTTAAAGTCAATATAGATAATCGAATTAAAATTAGATATAATACATACATAAATATAAAAATGTCAGATTAATTACAAGCAGTAGGAGAATTCAGAAGCTTCTCACATAACAATTGTTTGAAAGCGAGAATGAGTTTGAAATGAATCCTGTGCGGAGAAAAGGAGTGTCGAGAATCTTTGCTATCTGAGCGAAGGTTACGTCTGTGTGAAGCACCTAGAAACTGAAACTTACGTTTCAAATATCCAGACGCACATGGATCTTAAATAATATAATAAAAAGTAAAGAGCATCCTCAGATCGACGCTGGGGAATAGTTAGCCATTTTAACTTTTTCCTAAAAGAAGAGACATGATCGCATTGCCGAAGACAGAAAATAAAACGTATACAGTTATTGGGTAATCGATCCAATTTGTTGAGAATTTCCTGTGTGATATCAGTGTAACACACATCAGCATAATCTATAATGGGATAAATTATTGATTGAATTAAGGGGATTTTAGAGTAAACAGGATGGAAATTTTTTAACTGGTAGAAAGACTTAGGTCTTTTGGATACCGATAACTTTGCGACTAATAAACTCAATCGGCCCCTGCCAATTCAACATGCTGTCGATACAAATGCCTAAGTCTACAACATGAGAAGAAAACTTTATCAGGAAACGTTAAAGATGACGGGCGCGACCGAACTCATATTCAACTTTTTTAAAAGACGTGACGAATTCCAAAAGTTTAAGATTTTTAAAAAGTCCTTATTCAATGAAATTATGATATTATCCAAGTAATTTATTTCAGCTTGTGCATAAATTTGCAGGTCATCCCCGTACTGAGAGTTACCGAGAACAGACGAGATCATATTGATGAAGGTTGAGAAGAGAAGGGGAGAAAGAATACTGCCTTGTGGAACGCCAGCATCGGACCAATCCCGTGCTCTGTACGAACCGCCTGCCAATAATAATAAATATAATAGGGAACAATGGAAATTACTCCACCGACAAGAGTATCATCACTATTAAATGTTATAGAAAGATACACAGATATGATGTGTGCGTAGAAAGAAAACGATACGTATCGCTAACGCGTTTTGTTGTATCGAATGTTATGGATCGCTCACTTATTACGGTATGGTAGACTCACCAATCACCACACAAATACTGGGCGGAAACGATACAGAGGTATATGGATAACAATATGTATAGTTATTTTGATAGTTTTTGTTAATTTTCTGTTGCTTCGATTGTCCTAGAAATAAACTGTGGATTGTTTATATTAAACTGTTGATTTTTTTAATTCATTGTACTTTTGTACATTGAATTCATATGGCAATAGTTGAAACAGGAGCTTTGTTCTAAATTGAAATTGCTCAAGATATATTTGATTAGTTATACATAGGTTCCAAATGTGTGGTATTATCGCGGTAGAGAGCTGAGTAGCTCTTTGTAAGGACGATAGCCAATCCAACAGCTAATGAGCGGCGCAATAAAATACATGTCTTTTCTTGAAAAAACTTTTATCTGCAATTTGATAGAAGACTTGAATACTCATCCGGAACATTCACTAAATTACTAACCTACCCCTGAGAGCAACCGCTGTTAATGAAAGAATGCCTGTCGTTAATGTGCCGTTATTGAGTGCAGGTTCAGAGCTTGTCTTTAAAAGACGATCAGCTATTTTTGATAAAATTAGCTTAACTACGTTTTGAGTTTTTTAGGTATACAAATATATCTCAACAATTCTGTTACAGGCAGACAGTATTTATAAGTTAATTTTGTATGTTTGATTTCCCTATAGCCTTACAATACAACCCAGTAATATGACATATGAATACATAAATTATGTGCCAACTACATACCTCACCGTCCACACCCTTTAATCCTTGTATGATGCCGGTGTAAGCTTCCAGGACACTTTCTCGAAGTTCACCCAAATATTCTACCATATCATAATCATTGCGGTCAACTTGGGCATTGCTGGCCTGTGGAAAGGGTAAAAATTTGATTTTAATACTTTATTATTAAATACATATTACTACTTCATAATAGTACATCAACAAACCTGCAGCAACATTTGCATGACAACATCGAAATATTTGGCAAAATCAGGGCCAATACTAAGAGCAATATCTCCAAATACTGACAAAATCTGTGGCTTGACTGAACGATGGATTGAAGGATCACCAAGATTCTCCAACAAGAGATAAATTATTTCGTCACAATAGGGTAGCACCTGAAATCAGATTCAAATCTATTAAGATAAATATTAGGTTATAAAGAGCTACTTATTCCTGACCTTAAACTACTTCAGGAGGCAAGGCACATTCAAATTACTCTTTAAAGGTTAATAATAATGAATATATACCCTAACCAATTTTTTCCCTTACCTTACTTCTTAGAGCTCTACAAATATCTCCTGTGACTCCAACGGCAGCAACACATACTTGGTATTCTTGATGATTTTTAAGACCAACATAGAGATATCGCTTAAAAGCATCCATATATTTTAGAAAACCTTCACCTAGAACTTCAACAAGAGTAGACACTGCCATAAGAGCATCTTCTTGTACACCTCCAGCCTTGCCAGCATTTCCAGCAAACATTGTCAAAAGAGCAGTCATGATAGCATCAGATATCTGAGGCGCATCTTCGGGAGTGACTTTGCGTAATACCGATTGTAAAGTAGCACACAAAAGACTTTGTAGATCATTAAACTGAGAGCGGTCAGCTTGGCTTGAAATATGGTTTTCCATTTGCAAGACTTGTTGTAGTCTTTCTAATATAACCATTGTTGTTTTTTGAACTGTGACATAACAATCACTAGGAGAGTTTTTAACCATTTCCATGAGTGCTTCATAAGCAGCAGATCTTAAATTATGCTGGGCTGCATCTTGGCGGTCAGTAGTTTCCAAGAGCCGCTGGACAATAAAATCAAAGTATGTTGACATACAGTATGTTTTTGGTTGATTGGTGTCGTCACTATCTGCTGCTTCATATGCTGCTTCTGCTAATCCAGTAAAAGCCCAGCAAACATTAGCTGCTACTCGTGGTTCTGCTTTCAAACCATTTACAAGACTTTCTAATAATGGTTTGAGATAAGTGTCATTGATGGCTGCTTCTGGGACAATTTCACATATTCTGCCAAATGTCCAGGCAGCTGTGTCTCTTACAGCAACACTGGTATCATACATAGCATCAATCAAAGTTGGCATTGCATTTTCAACCAAGGGTTTGAGACTCGTTGCTTCTAAGCCACCAAGTATAGAACCAAATGCCATTAAGGCAGCTTCTCTATATCTCCAATTTTCGTTTTTAATATTAGAATTGATGAAGGGCAGTACATGTGGTACAATTTCATCTTCACAGCAATTTGATAGCAGCATTAAGCAAACTGATGCAGCTTTAGATGGATTCCATTCTAATTCATCATCTGAGTCATCCTGTTTTGTTAATTTCTGCATAAGAACAGGGGCAAGGTATTGTAAAGCTCCTCTGGCATAGAATCTTGAAGTTCTGACTGGTGGTCGACCTGAAATATTATTAGTTGTAGTAATTTCTTTTGTATAATACTTAAGATTAACAAATTAAATATTTTTTTTTATTTACCAGCATCAGCTGCTTCTGCTTCCTCAATTGCTAGATCAATCTCTTCATCACTTACATTAGACCAAAATTCAATGCCTTGAAGAGAGATTTCATCTATGTCAGATTTCATAGCCTCTAAAGTGATTGGAAACAAAGCTTGTCCCATATATGGTTCCATATATTGATAATATAAAGACAAAATTTTGACCTGTTATGAAAAAGAAAATGAATTAAGATATATAAAACGCCTATAAAGGTTAATTTGATGAATAAATATACTTTATTGCACTTGTTTGAAAGTGTGGTAAACAAAAAGGTGCAAATCTAAAAGACATGAGAAATTAAAAACTTATTTATCTCTCAGCTTTTAGTATTTCTTAATTTGACTAAAGTTAGATCATGACACGTAAGTACAGCTCTATGATTCTGTAAAAATCCAAACCAGAATTTTAATTCACTCAGGTGACCGAAATTCACTTAAAAAGCGACATCTACTTAATCTTGAATTGTTAATAAAGTTTTGTGGCATAGGTAGAGTTTTGAAATGACATAGGAATAGATTATCTGAGACATGTATATTCAATCAAATTTGCTTTGTATTTTTATACAGAAAATGGAATCAATGGAATTTCTTCATTAAATGACGAGAATTTGGACACATGAGTGAATTCGAATATGGGTCTGGATTTTTACAGAATCGCAGGGCTGATGTGACAATGGACCTTATACATTCGATGGATGATCGGTCCTTGCATAAAATACATGACACATATTTCATCAGATTTATATTGATTCTTAAGGGATTTAAATAATTATGCTCATTTATCCATTACACTAGTTTCATATATGTAGCATTTTTTTATGATTTTATTTCAAGAATTGTGAAAGTAGCCTATTTTTGCTTTAAAGATTAGACAGAATAAATAAATAACTGAGAATGAAACATTGAAATTACCAAACACTGAAGAGCAGCAACACTGATTCTCATGTCACTGGACTGTGTTGCTTCACATACTACTTCCATTATAAAGTTTCTTTCATTTTCTTTGTCAAAGTTTGCTTTGGTAAATTCTAGAGAGTTGAGCAGTGCTTGTGTTGCAGCAAGGCGAACATGATTACTAGGTTCAGTAGACCGCATCCCATGGATGATAGCAGTTAAAATTGGGTTGCTTTGTTCTGTTAAAACTTCTGCATCAATTTCTTGACAGATGTAACCTAAAATAAAACCTTATTTAAGTATAATTTAAAACTTGTAATAGCGCTATCCATATTAACTGTCTGAACTAGCACAATACTGAATAAGTGCGCGGCCGTCTTGTAAAAGAAGTTTGTCGTTATCAGACCGTAGCGCAGCGCGTATTCATTCATGTGCTCAATGGACGTTAATTATGTTCTTTATAATAATTCACTATCTCCTCGCCCTTTAATCCACTTAGCTAAATTAAATAATTAAAAATCATTCTGGTGTCATCCATGTGCCTTTAAACACTTTAAACTGTACCTTGTGATGCTTGGTTCTCATTGCCTAGAACCTACAAGGAATCCGGCGTGACAATATGGTAGGGGATGGGTAATAGCTTTACTTATTTTATCTTTTTCACTATAGCAAATAGTAACATTTTCACTTAGGCCTCAAACTGGATGCCTGAGGCCGTGATGGTGGTGGTGACCACAGTGAAACATACAGTCAATTTTTATTGGGCAAGGAGCGCACCTCCGAGTGATTATACTGTTATCTATTATAGTTTTTGACTAATTTAAAAACGTTATCGACATTCAAATCAGTATAATTAATAATTAAATATTTCATACTCAGAAATTCATATTACGTAATATTAAACATATTTTAAATGAACAATCGGATCACTGGCGTAAAGAACGGGCTAATTTCCCAGCGTTACCGCCACCGCGTCCAGTATGAGGCCTTACTGTTAGTGGATATGGTCTAAAAGTAGTAATTTTTTTCCAGTTTCTTTGAAGAGGTGTTTGGTAGATTTTAGAATGTATGCTGATATATTCTACAATCATTTTGCATTTATGCGCAAGGTGTAAAGAAAATACATTTCGTCTGTCTTCTTCGGCTCTGATAGAAGCATAATTCTTCTTTATTGGAGTATCATTTTTAGTTTAATTTACTTTTTTATCAATACAAATGCAAGACAACAAGTTGGTAAACATTTTTTAAATATATAAAAATACACAACATATTAGTTTTGTAAATGCAATATAAAGAATGATATATTCACCAATTGCTTCTAAAGTCGCTTCTTTTTTCAACTCTGTTGATTGTGCATTTACAACATTTTCTACAAGCATGGGAATCAAATCATTCCATTGACCAACTGCTAATTCAGCAACTGCTACATATGCTACACACTGAGCTGCTGAACTGGGTCTACTATTTTCTGTTCCTATAGCTGCTAGTATCTGAAATTGAAATTAGTTTATTGTTTATTTATAATTGATAACATTATAAGGATTTGAAAAAATCCAATTGTGAAACATATTATTCTTTTATGAATTTATTTATATATTTGTGTAATGATCATGACTGGTGTCACCTTGTTACGGACATAGGAAGTAGATGCCGATTTAAACATAATAAGTTGTTAAGTAGGTAACTAGTTAAATCTAGATTTTGAACAATTAATTTCATGTAAACGTGCAACGGTCGCGGTCATTGCCGCCACAACTGAGAACGCCAAGGAGGGACGGGGTCTCTCTCTGCCTAGACATTCTCGGTCCTGTGGTAACATGGATGTTCCAGAGGACTGCCAAGTGGGACGAAAGACCTAAATATGGCGAGAGATATTGTCTGTGAGTGGAGCCCCAGAAAAGCATCTTAGTTTCTGGGTCATTCCAATTTTTAATGAGTATTTTTCTGTTATTCCAACAGGCAGTATGGATAGTTCCCGGTACATTTTCCCTGAGTCACAATAAATGCTAATTAACTCTCATTTTATCTGTCCATGTCCATCATCAAGTAAAAATAGACATACTTAAAACTTAATATGTAAATTACTAAATATAAATTTAAAAAATTTTTGAAATATTTTTGATTAATTTTGCATTCACAATGATATACTGGAAAATATTCTTATGCTTTGAAGTTGTGAAAAAAGTAACAAGTGCTTGAAGAATTACTCAATTCTGGTAGGTCCTCGGTAGCTCAGTAATAAGAGCAGTCTCCCGGATTATAAAAGGTCATGGGTTCAAATTCCACCTCCCATCCCATCCCAGGGATGAAGTCGATTTTTTAAACATTTGTTAATAAGAATATTATGTAATATATCAATTGATATGGGTCTATTGTTGAACTCTGGATCTTATCATATCAAATCTCATGTTGCTAACCTATCATCTGTCTTAAGTAAAGATGCCCTCTCAAGAGCTCATTATAGAATAAATGAACACTATAATATTTGATTAAATCAGTATCAAAACCACACACTCAATATCTTCTGACATATGGTACCCTTAAGGGTATGCATCCTACGCGACAATAGGTCAATTAAAATGCATGACACAAAACAACTTTTATGTTGAAATTAGAGGAGCTTGGTGCACAATACAGTGGTTAAGAACTTTGGTCTATGATGCAGAAGATAAGCAAATTTGAAAGGGTTAGTCATTGGATGAATGTAATATCTCAAGCTCCTCTGTTTCAAAAGTATGTTAAGACATCATCTTGGCTGCATCTGCTGTCATTAACATCCACCAATCTATGCTGGGGCCTTATAGTGGATCATGGCCCATTCTTCCTATACAGTTAAATTCAATTTGATCCATAAGAGAGGCCTTTGTGTAACAGTATGAAATTCACAGGCTAGTGATGATGATGGATGATATAGAAATTATGCACAAGTGTTAGTAAATAAAATTAGAAACCACCAATTAAGAAACAAAATAATAAAATAAACAATTACATTCTTTTTTATATAGAGTCTTATATCTTCTGGAAGTGCAAGCCATCTTTGTTGATACTGTTGTTTCATTGTGGGATCTTTAGAGGTAAGGTGGTTTTTGAGCTGTAATCCTGCAGCCATTCTTGCCACTTGGCTGTTACCTCCTTGAACCAATACATCTGATAGCATTTTGATAAAGGTTGTGAAGTTTGTAGCTGCTGCATGGTCCAAGTATTTCTCTGCTGCTTCCAACTCATTTCTGTCTGTAAATGTCCAGTTAGTATGTGTTTATATTTCAAGTTTATTTGTAAAAATATAGTCATTAAATTCATAGGAATATAACCTTCAAAATTGATATTGTATACTATATAATTATTAAATAAGTAAAATAAAAACTTTGTTATAATGCTGTAAGTTCGAGGTATCGGTAGCTGCTACATATTTTGGGTCTATGAAAGTATATCAATAGAAATTCAATAAGCAGAAATTTCCTGAAGTGACAGTCAAACATGTCACTATTGTTCTAGTGGAAATCTATAGATTATTTGTCCAGGTAAAAAACAAAATGTGATGTTCGCCTAATAAACTAAAGTATGACACACATTAGGGAGAAACAAGGGAATTTATAGATACTTAATTATCTAATTTCACAAACACTATTTGATAATGATAAGTCGATTGACAGCTAGAAGCGCCATGCTCAACGAAATATAACATTTGTTTCTTTACCTGGTGATATAGTCTTTTCTAATATTTGTATAAGAGTTAATGTCGCTTCAGGATGCATCTTGTTTAACTTTTTTTAAATAAACTGAGGTTTGAAAGAGAAAATGATACTCAAAAACTTAGAAACCGGCACACGACGACTGAATATTCACAAAATGCCAATGTTACCAGCATCAAAAAAATATTATAATGAAACTTGAAATTAGAAATTTAACTGTCAGTTGTGTTTGTGTGCGTGGCCATCTGGTCTTTAGGTCAATGATACTTTTACTCTTTGGGTCAATGTAATGGCCAATGAAGAGGTATTAAAAAAAGGAAAGCACTAAAAAGCATCTCCACAAGATGGCGACTCTAGCAAAGTTGATTTTTGCAGGAAACGAATGGACCAAAGATAGTCATTTCCTATATATATTAAAATAAAATAATAGAATAGGAGTTATTTATTTAGTTTTGAAAACTAATTTACTTAAAAACATGAAAAAAAAAAACCAGAAGGGTTGTCATGGAGAAATCAAGAAAGTGACATCTAATTTGATTTAGAGAACTAATGTTTTTTTAAATACTTCCTATTGGGGTTCACCATTGACTTTAAGCTATATTGATTAGAAGGACCTTGATTCAAAATAATATGCAATATTATCCTATAACTGTGTTTGAGTTTTACTAAGCCCCTTCTGAAAACTATAATAGGATTAGGTCCCACAAAAATGGATCTTTTTATCAACAAAAATTAGTTTCGGAATTCTTTAAAATAAATCAATCTACAAAACTTGGAAATACAAAATTTCCCTTTTTGCTTTAAACAGTGTTTACTGTTGGCCTCAGATAGCCTTTACAGTGTAACCGGACTATTTGCTACGCGGGGGACAAATTGTATGGATGTAGTGGAAGAAAGGTTAATAAAACTAATTGCTCCTCAAGATGGCGCACGTGACGTGACAGCTATTGCGACATTTAATCAAGCTTTAGCTGAATATAATTAAACGGATTGTAGCGCACTGCTTATCCTGACATCGCATATAAGAGACGGTAGAAAAAATAATGAGATTTGGTACTGCTAATGACTTCTGGAATGAGTTACACAGATTATTTAATGGACAATCGGAAGACAGAGAAACTTTTAGTGAAAAAACTATATCGACTACTAATAAATTATTAGCTTTATCCTAATCAGGATACGTGTAAACCTTTCTTACACAACTAAATACTAAAAAACATTTAACATAGGTATTATAATGAATTTGGTGTAGGTAAAACTTACATGGATATTTAGATCTTAGTGTGGTGTTTACGTATGTATTGTAACAACTTTATGTACACTTAGTTTGCATATAAACTTTTAAATTAACTTTAACTTAGTTATATAAATATTTCAGCAACTCACATCCTCATTAGGTATTCGAAAATAATAACTTGTTTGTCTAAAGTGATGATCATACAAGTATTTTAATGAAAATAAGTATTAATTATATATTTTAATTATTTACTTGTATTATCATTATTGCAAATTTTGAAAATGATGTTATGTTGAATTTGAAATGTTTTTTAAATAAAGTTTCTTTGCATTTATCTTTGGATTAGAACTGTAAATTTTTAAGAAGACCGACTGGCAACACTGCTTTGACGTTTGCTTTCTTTCATATTTTGATGGTGTTGTTGTGAGATTGTATGATAATTTAAACCTTAACAATGGTAAGAAATCTGTAATTTTCTTGTGAATCTTATTTAATTTCTTTAATTCGAGATTATATATGTGTTATGTGCGTATGTTTTTGTTTGGTACATCGTTTATTTGGTGATAGTAATTAGTTTTATTTTCAGTCGCTGGTAATTCCGGACAAGTTTCAACATATTTTACGTATTATGAATACAAATATTGATGGAAAACGTAAGGTAATGTTTGCTATGACCGCTATCAAAGGAGTTGGTCGCAGATATTCCAATATCGTGTTGAAAAAAGCAGACATAGATCTTGATAAACGTGCCGGAGAGTGCACTGAAGAAGAGGTAAGAAAATATTCGTATTGTTTATTCGCTCCATTATATAGCAGACACTTGCTTTAGTCCTAATAATATAGCGCCGAAAACATCTTGGTGCGAAACAAAATGCATTTTGCTGTGCAATTACTAATTCAGATGGTTAGGTTATTATTAAGATTTTCAAATACAACCTTACTAAATGAATGGGGTATTCATATTAAAATTGTCTTGTATACTATTGAAAAAAGACTGGGTTATATAGCTCTTTGTTGTATGTATGAATGTGATTACTATCTAATCCCAGCAGTCCTATTTGAATCCTACTCTTGGTGACTTTTAAAGCACTTATACATTCATAATTCATTCACTTTATTTTACTTTAATGTTTTACAGGTTGAAAAGATTGTCACTATAATGTCAAACCCAAGGCAGTACAAAATCCCAGATTGGTTTTTGAATAGACAGAAAGATATTGTCGATGGTAAATACAGCCAGTTGACATCCTCTAACTTGGATTCAAAGCTTCGTGAAGATCTCGAGAGGCTAAAGAAGATTCGAGCCCATAGAGGTATGCGTCACTACTGGGGCCTCCGTGTCCGTGGTCAGCATACTAAAACCACTGGCAGGAGAGGCAGAACTGTGGGTGTCTCTAAGAAGAAGTAATTTACACTAATAAACAAGTATCATCTAAAAAATGGTTTTTTATTAATTTGTGAATGCAAGATTCTTGGCAGGCGAGAAAAGTAAAATCTAGACTAGATTTTAGTCTTGATAAAAACTATATTTTTAATTCAGTAAACATCAAAGATAATAGGAGGAACTATTCTATATATACTCTTGAAACTATTTAATAGTCAAAATAAAAAAAAAATTGAAGGGTTAGGAGCTTGCAGAGGCTATTACCTTAACATTTGAATTACTTTTGAAAACAATAATATTACAGTAATCCTGATTACATTTTTTTTGTAGTTTAATAAAACTGACACTTATCTGTATTAAAAGGTATTATGAAGATAAATGACCACATACAATTGTTTTACAAAACTAGCTGTTTAACTGCTTTTGTGACTTAGTTGTTATATTGTAAAGAAAAAGGTCTTTTCAGTGGATTAAAAAAAAATGATGTTATAAGAATATTATTTTATTATAATAATGTTGCAGACAATTTTATTTACAGATATTTGTAACATTAGTGAACATTCAAAGTCCAGTTGTTTTGTCTAGTTTTTGTTACACAGGAAACTTAATTAGATTGTGATGTGAATTTAATCTATAAACCAAATAGAACTGTTCACATTATATAATAATAATCTTGAATGATTTACACCTGGTTTATGAATTGAGAATTTAAGTTGAGCATGTCTCAAACCAATTTTAAAATCTTAACATTTTTCTAATGATTAGTTAAGCGCAGTTTGATAAAACTAGGGTTTTTGCCACTTGAAACATAAACAACTTAACTTATTGAGAATAATCACTTGAGATTTTGTACTTTCCTCAATTCAGAAACCGGCCCTAAGTTTATAATTGTATAGGACAGGACTTAGTTTCTAAACTATAGTACATAGTTATTCATATTGTGCTATTATTACCATCATGTAAACACCTGCTAAAAGTGCAAGAATTTCTTTAATAGACTGAGATAACTTTGTAGATCCTTCTAATAATTCTGGAATGACAGAAACTGTTGCAATATAAATAAAACCACCAGCAGTAAAAGGTAATATTAGACTTGCAACAATGCCTTCTCCAGATCCTTGTAAGTAAATTGATATAACTGTCCCAGATATAGCTCCAAAAGCAGTCAACAGTTGTAACATCATAGCTTTTCGACGAGAACATCCCGATTGAACTAGTATGGCAAAATCACCAATTTCATGGGGGATTTCATGAAGTAAAATTGTGATTGTTGTTATGTATCCAATACTATTTCCAGCAATAAATGAAGCTCCAATTGCTAATCCATCAGTAAAATTGTGAGTGAAGTCAGCAGCAAGATTTAAATAACCAGCAATTTTTATTTCACTCTTTTTCTCTTTATTTTTCTTCTTTGCATCATCTTTTTTCTTTTCTGGGCCATGTGAATGTCCATGACCTCCATCAATAAGACGGACAGTCTTCTCAACAACTAGGAATGTTATGATTCCACCAAGAACTCCAAGACCTACTGTGATATCATGGGGTTCATTAGAACTATTACTGTTTGAATGACTATGACTGTGGCTATGTCCTGCTCCTTGTTCAGATGGCATCAAAGCGTGTGGAATTAAATGCAGAAAAGCATCGCCGAGAAGTCCGCCAGAGGCAAAGGACAGCAAAATTTTTAGTAATGGTTGTTTTTCAACAGTCCCGTCAATAGGTATAAAGAAAAGTATGAAAAACGGTACTATACTGATAAATATTGTTGAACTTAGTGCCTTCACATATAAGTCATAACTAGATTCATTTATATTTTTCACTTTTTCTTTTTTGTAATGTTCATTCGCACTTTTGGAATATTTGAACGCTGGCGATTCATCGTCATGTGAGTGTGAATGACCCCAAACTGTAATAACTGTACAAACTATTATAACACAAGATAAAATAATTCTTCTTCGGCAAAACATAATTTTAAAGTTAATCCAGCTTAATATTCGTCACCTGAATTCGACAGTTTTTTTTTATATGACACGATTTCAAAAGAAATTATTCTTTCGAACGACTGACAGACATGACACGACTGACAAGGACGCAAACAAAAAACAAAGAGTAGGGAGAGGGCTAGCGATGCATGTTATCACGATAGACAGTTATTCAACTAGTAATACCTGAACCGCGATCACTTGTGACTCAGTGATACAATAACTATTTTCCACAACACTTTAAATTAAAGCTGAATTCACTCTTAAATTAATAACTTAAGGTTGATATTTAGGCTACTCGCTTCACAATATCCGCGATCACCAAGAAGCGGTGATCACAGTTCGCAGCGACATCTTTTAAAAATCAACGCTTTACATTGACGGTTATGTAATGCAATTTTAATAACCGTATACAATGTAACGCGTAATGTAGAGCGTTTAGTATATATGGATCGTTCACAATGCAACTTGTCAAGTGTGAATGAAACAAGAACAGGATGTCAGTATACGTGTGAATGAAATAGGTATGTGTTTGTTCGTTCCGCGTAATTCGGCTATGGAGAGATCAACTAACCAACCCAAAGAACAATGGCCATCTACCTAACATGCTTGGACTAGTAAAATGGAATAAAACGTAACTTGATGAAACATATGTTATTTTGTTTGCCTATGCAACTAGAACAAAGAAAGAGATTTAATATATTTTTAAAAGCTGGGAGTATCGAGTAATTGTGTAATATGTTTTTGAGGTTATGTCGTATTATTTAAACTGTAGCATTTTGAGTTACAGTTGAAATATGTAAAGCACATGTCAGATAATGCCTAATCGTGGTCCTAGAAGTGCATACTTTCAAATAATACTTCAAACTTGCTCTATAACTGATATATTATTTTTATTCACTGTAAGAAATAAAATCATTTTTGTGAACCAATAAACCTCCAAAAAAATTGAATTTTTAAGATTGCTCTCAATAACTCTACTTTTCTATCTTACACTATAACGTATATAAAGTTGCGCTGGATGCGGGAGGCGCAGGACCGATCGCTTTGGAAATCTTTGGGGGAGGCCTATGCCCAGCAGTGGGCGTCTCTCGGCTGAAGTGATGATGATGATGATGACCCAGTGTACATCGACCAATAAGAATAAAACATGTTCTATTAGGCCCGTAGACAGAGAAAGCCCATCTAACCCAGATGTGTCAATATTTATTAAAATAATATTGTTAATAATATATTATATTATTATAGTATTAATAATATTGTTTTCTCCTAATGTCTCGACTTAATTCTATCCCTTTTAATTAAGACTTTATTTATATTTATTTAAGTCTAATTCTAATAAATCCAGAGAATCCGGTATTTCTCTACAGACCTCAATTCTATACTGCCCATGGAACCTAGTATGCTCCCCATAATACAGAAAATAATGCAAAATCGCCGCCAAACTTACAAAACGGTGTGCGCAAAAACACGTCTATACATATTTGTCTGAAAAAGGGAGGTTGCAATCGATTGATTACTGTAATATCGATTTTTATGAATAATCATTAGTTTTAATTTCATTATAAATAAACTATTAAATAATCCTCTAAGTAACATCTAATTATATTAGTAATCTAACTAAGTTTTATAATTTTCATGGATTTATATGGTTAATAAATAATATAAGATTTATATCAAATTCGATTAGTCAGAAATAAAATCGATCTTGTTCTTTGAAAAGAGATGGACTTCTCTAGGAATGACATTATTATTAAGATGCGTTCAAAAATAACATAATTTAAACTGCGTTCTAAAAAGTAAAGACATATTTTAGAGAGGATTATCTTTCATTTCCCAGCTTTTAAAAATAAAATCTTGGTATATAATAATTATATTTAACTTATACTATATTTTTGGTGATAGTTTCGTCTTGGTAACAAGAACTTTTTTTTCGTAGTCCATTGTGACCATTGTTCTTTGAGCTTTATCGCATTTCATAGGAGTAAAATGCGCTTTGACTTTATAATGGTATAGATATAACTAGTTATCAAAATAGACAGTTTTGATATCGGTGATTGGCGATCTGACAGCGGTCACACAAATTAAATATTGAAACGTATATTGTATCAATATCGTAATATCCGATATCAATGATCACATTAACTATAAGTATATTTTTAAACGGTATATCGCTGCATCAATGTGATACGTTGGATTCAGTATCTCGTTCGATATCCGATATAAATAGATATGGGATATCAAATCGTGTCGCATCATAATAGTATAGCCCAATGAAGGCGTTCAGACTTGTGAGTGAATGAAATACCAATATTCAAATATTCTTAGGATTTATGGATCCGATGAGGTTATGACGTTAGCGTATTAGAGTTAAGGTTGATTCCATACTTTTGTATGTATTTTGGCAAGTTTTTAATACGAAGTATGCGAAAAGGGCAAGCTATGAATGAGCACGCTAGTTAATCAAATGCTAGTTTATTTTCACTTGCTAGAGGCTTAAGGTTACTGAAGACAGATCGATTCACACTTTGCTAGTTTCAAAATATATATAGTTTTAGAATTCGATATTGAATTTTGATATGTAGTATTGAATCGATATTGTGAAAATCTGATATTACCGCGCTAACAAACAATAAAGTAAGTAGTAATTTTCTACAAAAGCTAATCCAAGCCGAGAGTAAAATCGCGAAATAAAATCGCGAAAAACACTGCTCAATCTATTAGCGCTTATCATGTGACGTCATATATCAGTAAATATGTCAAGACAACATAACTTATTTATCAACTATTTATTTACGAAGTAAACAACTAGTATTATCGAAGAAAAATTTAAGTAAAATGCTATGTTTTGTATTTTTATCTACTCTGGTTTTGTTTATAAAATGAGTTACAAATTGTATGTATAAATAAAAATTTTGTGTATCATCACTAAAAAAACTGTTAGAACATGACAGCTTCCTGTTTACATGTGACGTCACATGCTGGTAAACAAAACCGTTTACTAAAGCTAAACATATTTGTATGCAGATTCTAAGGAATAAACTTTATTAGATTATTATCTAAAAGGATGACCATATTCTGCTACTTATTAGTGTCAAATACCCTATTGTGAAAAATGTTGCGTTTATGTTTGTACAACTGACTCTTGTAGTGGTCGTAATACGTTTTTTTTGCAATTACAATAAAAATAACAATATTGTAAATACAATATAACTCGAGTTCCTGATATTGTACTACTTTTTTTTAGTGTTCTATATTTTAAAGCTTATTCTCAAAAATACTATATTTCGCTGAACACATGTTGGCAATCTTTTTTGCATTCGCAATGAGGAAGTAATGAGGAAGTATTTAAAAAAAATACTAAAAAAACAACCAATAAGTTGGCTCATCACTAATGTTGACGTATCACATCGTTCCTTTACTCGTAACATAATAAACAACTTAAACTTACGATCAAAATATATTAAAATTAATTTGAAAGTTAGATATTATAAGAAACACAAAACGATGTCATATTTATTAATTTTCGACACTCAATTTACTTTCATTACGTCAGAAACAAAAGTTGAATGAATATCACAAACAAAATCCAAACATCGCGACTGACATCTAGTATGATTTCAAGAACTAATTTTTGTTTTTTAAATACTTCCTCATTAAAAAAAAAGAAAGCACTAAAAAGCACCTCCACTAGGTGGTGACTCTAGCAAAAGTTTATTTTTGCAGGAAACGAATGTACCAATAACAGTAATTTCCGATCCTTTTAACTGACATATTAAAAAACTGAAATTTGCAAAGTTCGAAACTTAGATATTAATACAAATAAGAAAAAGTACAAATAGAATATGAGTCGTTTATTGAGTTTTGAAAACTAGTTTACTTTTATACATAAAAGAAAACGGGAAGGGTTGTCATGGAGAACTCAAGAACGTACCGTGGTGTTATATTTCGTTTGTTAAGTTTTATTTCGGCAACTAAAGAGTTTTTTAAATATTTCCTCATCGTAACATCGTATGTTTCGCCATTTCAAGCGAATGCGTTGGTGTACTAACAGCGTTAATTACACAGGTCTGCGAAATAATTTTATTGAAAAGTTTTTTTCAAAAACTGTTCTTATTCGTTATAATTACGTTATAAATAACATTAAACAGCATTTATTTGGTATATATCACGTCACACTTCCCAGATTTACATGGTTATAATATTAGCATATAAATAACTACAAGTCAAAAATTTTAAAAAATAATGAAAGGGCTCTTTTTACAATTTTATAAGCTTTATTGAGTTTGAATGAAATAAAAAAGAGTAAAATAAAATACGAATAAAAAAAAACAATCAATAACGTATTTTCTTTGAAAAGAAACTGTGTTTTGTTGGTTTTTTGTTTATGAGTTTTTACTTCATCTCTACATATCATCCAACAATAGTCCGTCATCATATTAACGTCCCAACGGCCTTGAAATCTTCTTTCGATCTCTTTTATATCTTGATGGACTGTAATCGCCTAAATTTTTTGGGAAAACATTAATATGAGATTTCAAAAAATGAACTTTCCAACTCATATTACAACCCAGGTTTTTATAGGCGTTTAACATTTCCGTGAAAATACTTTTATGATTACTCCAACCTCCAATTTTGGTCTAATACGCCAATCAGATATTTCCCAATATGAGTTTCTTGTTCTACTTTCCCATTCACAAATATAATACGGGAATTTTGTGTACCCTTGCTGTTGACCAAGAAGCATACATATGAGTTTTAAGTCTCCCCAAATGAACCATTTGGTTCGGAGTATTTTATGTACTTCTCAAGTTTGCATAACTGAAAAGATTAACTGAGTGAGCTACAGGTATTGATGCAAATTTATTGCCAATACGTAAGAGAACAGCTTTAAAACTTCTTTTTGAAGAATTTATAAAAAGTCGCCACTCTTCTGCTTTGTATTCGATGTCAAATTTTTGTATTAAATCGGTAATATATCACAGCAAAATACCAAACTATCTTCTATCTTCAAATTCTGTAAAAATCTGGTTCTCTTTTTCGATATCACTAAAATGTCGTCTCCGCATCCAATAAATTGTTCTCTTTTAAGCGTGAACCGAGTAATTCTGCTCTATCTTTGGGTAATCTGTCTGAACGGTCGAGGTTCATTTGTAAGGTGTATGAAAAATTTATTATAAATATAATATGCCGAAAAAAAATTGACGTGTTACAATTAAAAAAAGTTTATATTTGCATTATGTATGTCAACATGTGCAAGTTATCCTTAAAATTCTCAAAAAAAACTTTTTCATCGCAGACCTGTGTTATTAGAATGTAAACACTACGTTTTAAATTGAATTATTAAAAATAAAGATGTCTAATATTTGTGCTCTTAATAGATTTAAATAGATTAACTCTTATCTCTTAAGAGTCAAACTATTTAAATCTATTTAAATTCTGTTAGTGGGTTGCGGGTATAAATGAGAAATATAATAAATTATTTTGTTTATTTTGAACACATTTATATTGTGTGTAAAACTTAATATAGAAAGTATGAACACTATGATTACTAAAAAAATACGGGATATAATTGTTACGTTAAAACCAGTATGTCATTTTAAGGTTTCCATCAACATCTCTCTGTGTTTCCATAGTGCTGGACTGACGAACTAATTTACGCATTGAACTTCGTCTTATAGATGGTAATTCAGAAACCCCATCTTCTTGTATTCGCGGCGACTGTGTAAGTTCCAAACGATCTAAGTTTTCATATGAATCGGAAGCACGAGTCGGTCTGTAAAAATAAGAAAAGTTATTTATTATACTTCTATAATCGCGTAAAATAAAATTCCAACAAATATTTTCATGTTAAACGTTGCCATACAAGAGCATATGGCTCTCTCTGTCAAAAAGTTTCTGAGGAGGTGTAGCATACCTTGAAGGGGCCCTGTATTTGTATCTGTAAAAACTTTTGCTTACACACGTAGAGGCCCCTAATGTGATACTAATTATTGATAAGGCTGATTCGGCGTAAGCTACGCTCCTGGATATAGTGTACAGCTACATCTATATGCTTTTATTCTACAAAATCTAACTTCTCACAAACAAACTTTACACTTTAGTCAAACCATTGCCTACCAACCATTTTAACAAGTATTTTCTAATTTCTTTGTGTACCTATATAATTTTCAGATCTCAGTATGACATAAAGTTTATAGGGAAAGCCTATAAATCTTCCATCCCCTAATTTAAAGGATGGAGATGTTATACAGAAAATTCTGGAATATGTATTTTATTACTATTATTTATAACAATGAGTGTGATACCAATTGCGGCAGTTCCATACTGAATTCCATCACCTAGTTTAAGAGATTAGCCTGACCTCAATATTGGCGCCCTTCATTCTTGCTTCTTTAGGCGATTAGGCTAGAATATAGGCTCCTTAGGCCGCCCTGAATACACGATCTTCATGAGAGGTCTAACTTTAGAATTAGTGAAGGTAACTCATATTTTCATAGATATCACTTGTGCTTTACTGATGAGTATTATACTTATACAACCATGAGATATAAGAAACTGCAACCTTTGATCTCCGCAGACAAAACAATCTTTATACGTCCAGTTTTTGCCGAATTCCTCTCCTTCTTCCGCGGTTTGGGGCAATGACGTGTGAAGAGTTTCTGGTAGACGTAAACAGGATATACCACCGATTACTGATAAGACACCCATCACCACCAGAGGCAATACCAAATTACTTGAGCCCTGTAATGGATTACAATTAGCATTTGTTCAATTAATGAATTCAAAAAAGTAAGTTATGAATTCGTCTGATGATTCCCGAGGGTCCATTAAATTCCTGAGATTCGGATGGCTAGTTTCTTTGAAAGAAAACTGAAAAATTACTAAAATGATTAAGTATAAGTTACTGTATTATTTATTTATAGTTAAAGCCAATGAGTTTAATAACTAGAGAAGCAACCCCATACAACAGACGCGCCAAAAAGAGTAGCACTTTTCCGAAATGAGGTACTATTTAAAAAGTAAAAGAAAGCACTACAAAAGCACCTCCACTAGGTGGCGACTCTAAAAATTTTTTCAGAAAACGAATGGACCAAAGATAGTAATTTCCGTTCCTTTTAACTAACATATTAAAAAACTGAAATTTGCAAAGTTCGTAACTTATATATAAATACAAACACGAAAAAGAACAAATAGCTTATTTCGTTAGAACATATTCCTCTTAAAGAAAATTTATGGGAATTTTAAACCTAAATATCGATATAGCGTTTTGAATATTAACTTCAAATATAAATTTCGCCAGGACATGTTTTTTATTTTCTCATTTACAAAAAGTTACCTCTAAAATTCTATTTTATTGAATTTCTTTAGTATTTTCAATGGGGAAAACCGTCACTATGTCACACTATGTTGTGGTACCTTTATTGTCTCAGATACTTCATAAGACAGGGGATTTAGCTACTCATCTTGTAATCGGAGCAATGTATATGTTATTATTTAATATATATAAACAACGTGTGTGATTGAGAAATTTTACAATATAATACTTTTGACTTATTATTCCAGGCAACAAGGCATCATCTGTATCAAGTGTTTCACTTACTGGTTTACTGATTTGGACTTATTATCTCTTAATCTACATACAGTGTATAGTTTACAACATCTTTTTGCGTAGCAATTATGAGTAGGTACGGTTACGCACAGAGATTCTTCATCTCAATAGCAGTTGTAAGGGATAACATTATAAATGTAACTTATATGTATAATGTTCAATAGTAGAATCCAGAACAAAATTAATTACACCCACCCTCTCCACTACACGTACAAGAGTGGAGAAGCATAGTTAAGAAAAAAAGGAAAATAATATTTAACTATTATATGTATCATAAGAATAATAAAAATGTAGACTTTATTTTAAAAATATTAAAGTTTCGTTTTCTCGTGAAATATGATATATGAAAGTAGGAAAACAAAAATACCTTTACTCTTTATTTAATTTGAAAAATAAAAAGTAAACTTCGCCTTTTATCGTTGTTGTTGTCTGTTAAAAAAAAAAACAATCACGAAAGTAGACTATATGCATATAAATCCTTTGTTTTTCGATAAAGTCCGTGTTTAAGACAAAAACATTTGTCAAAGTTCATAAAACATCAAACAAAAGTTCAGTTTTATGTATTTTCCAAAACAATTAAACCATTTTACACTTAACACTTTAAAAAAATAAACCATTTTAGCGACATCTAATTCATCGCAGTAACATCGCCACAACAATCGATAGCGAGAAGACTAGCATCGTCACAGCCATCGATAGCAAGACGAACTGCAATAAGTTTCAACAGCAAGTAACGAGATGGCGCTGCACCAATACAAACAGCATAAATTAATAACTAGAAGACATTTAGAACAAAGAAACCTACATCGCACAGAATAAGTTACCTTACGGAGTTATACATACCCGACGACACGTCCAACCTACATCGGTTGGACCGCGGTCCCCGGGCTAAAAACACCTAGCTCGGAGGGAGACAATTATCCTTTAGTCTCCCTGGCCAGTTGTCTCCGTCACCACAGTAGGGACCACACCTTCAACCTTACGGTTCCTAAAGTGGTGACCCCAGAAGAACATCAGCAACCTTCAGCATCACAATGCAGCCATCACTCTTCACCAACAGCCTCTCACCCTTCATCATCAGCTTCTCATCCCTCATCAGCACAGCCACTTCAGCAGCAAGCCAGCCAACACCAAGGTCCATCACAGCAGCATCAACGGCGCTTCCTGGATTCTTGGCACCACATGACGGCATCATCCCGACCTGGTCCTCGCAGCCCACGACCGGACCTCAGTTCACACACAACTCACCGGCGTGGCAGCCCTGCACACCAGCAGCTTCGGTCCCGACGTCACAACCATGGCACTTGCAAGCTCTGAAGCACTGACTGCATACCACCTACTATCAACATGGATCGACCTTCGGTCTAGGGGGAAAGTACTGTGGCGACTGATACATAGCGACATCTAATTCATCGCAGTAACATCGCCACAACAATCGATAGCGAGAAGACTAGCATCGTCACAGCCATCGATAGCAAGACGAACTGCAATAAGTTTCAACAGCAAGTAACGAGATGGCGCTGCACCAATACAAACAGCATAAATTAATAACTAGAAGACATTTAGAACAAAGAAACCTACATCGCACAGAATAAGTTACATTACCAATTAACATAAATAGAACGTCCAACCTACATCGGTTGGACCGCGGTCCCCGGGCTAACAACACCTAGCTGAATGTGTCTATGAAAAATATATCAACACAATTTACATAGTCGCTGATACTAAAACTGAACCATATAATCAATATAAAAAAGAAAAGAAAAGGAAAAAAGAAAATATAGTTGAGAAAATTTAAAGTGAATAGCAGTAGCAACACTGACGACAAAATGTTAAAATTTTATTTGTGATAAATTAATATTTTTATTTTTTGAAATTAGCTTTAATTTTGTTTTTATTGTCAAACATGTTAATGATTTAAATGTGAAAATTATATTAATTTATTATTTGTATTTGTCAAAGAGAATCGTATTTTATCCACTGATTTTCTTCGTTTTAGAGGATAATTTTTTTAGTATTCCCTGTTATAAAAAAAAACTATTCTTTTTTAAAATATTCGGTTGGGGAAAAAGTCTTTTCGTATATAGTATACGTAAACTTCTAATAAAATCTTTCTGGCTATATCATTTGTATTTGGCTTGTTTAGGTATCAACAAAAAAAAATAAATTTAAAAGAACATAACCCCGAATTCAAATAAAGAAAATGTTTTACATTTGTTTTTCTTACTGTCAAACGAGTGAATCTTATGCATAAATTCGATGTATTTTAAAACTTTATTACAAACAAGGTAAAACTCCAATGCATGCCGTGAAAAAAAAAATTGTGATGTTTATGGACCTAGTGCAGTTTCTGTAAGAGTAGTACAAATTTGGTTTAAGCGTTTTCAGTCAGGAAATGTTGATATCAGAGATGCACGTCGCTCTGGTCGCCTTGTAATGGATAAAATAGATGCCATTTTTGAAAAGTGAAGCTATATATCTGTAGTTACGACGTAGTTGAAGAACTGGTAATTGACCACAAAATAGTTTTTTCGCATTTGACAAAAAAAAATAGTCATTGCAACAGGCAAAGCGATTAGGCCTTTAAAAGTTACATGATTCCGTAAATCGCAACATCTTTGAAAGGTTGTAAAAATTGAGATAGATTTTGAACTTAGACAATCCTGCCACAGATTTTATAATTCACATGATTTCACTTATATATATATATGTTTTTAAATCGGTCAATCTTTCAAATCTCTACATTCTTCAGATATGCATTTATATATCGCTTTTAAGATAAGATGGACAAAGATAGGTAGGAATAGTGTCAGTTTATCTTTTAAGTATTATCTGAGATAATCAATGTTATGTAATATTTGCTTTATCTTAAAGTGATGCCATATGACGGTATAACTTTAACTGTAAACTATAGTTTCGCTGGTTAAAGTTTTTGCTTTACTACTATTCCAAAAAAGAGGATGGTGCAACGCATTCTACAGTCATAGTTTGACTTTAACATTATAGCGTGGCAGATATCGTCAAATTTGACATAAACCTTAATCCAGCATACATTTTTCAGGCCATGACGTCATTCAACCATTGCCAAATGATAATTTATTATTATTCGCTTAACCGGTATTGTTATTACCTTACCAACTAACCCTTAAAGTTTTATTTTTATCGATTTGCCAACTCAATAGCTTGTTTACTTTACGTTTGCTTGTTGAACCACAAACTTACAATTTTTGTGTAAGTACAAGAAAAAAGTGTCTACAACGCTCGTTACTTATCTATCAAGACTATTCCCAGACCACATAAAAATATTAAACATTAACTCTTGCGAATTAATTTGACACACGAGGGCCTGTTCTATTTGTCCTCAAATGAAAGTTCGGTAAATTTAGTTTTTATATATTTTTTTAAAATTATATCTTTGAAGATCTGTGTTCTACCACTGCTGCATATTGTCAAATGCGACATAATTTGTTGATAGCTCGCATTTAATGCGTTTCTTTGGAGTTGTATTAACATTTTGAAAATAGACAAAATTTCATTTTCAGGAAATAGAAAAGGCCCTCAAACATGACAATGTTGATTCGCGCGAGTAGTAGTACCTACATTTTGTTTACTATATCAAAATAATAATATAATATTTAAAGTAACTTTCAACCAGCGGCTTCCCACGCATGGTCTTGTATTATACGTATATTATTTTAAATATTAAATTTATTAAGTAGTAGTTTTAGCTTACCAGATAGTTTATGAAAGGTATTATAATTAATCCCAGGCCGCCTATGTACGCGGAGGTACCAATTCCAACACCTCGTAACTCTGTTGGGTATAGTTCTCCAGCATACGGATATATTATTAGAAAAGATGCAGATATAAAACATTTAGATATCAAATATAGTATCAGAGTTGCCGTTAGAGCATCTGTAACAATAAAATTAACTAGGTATTTCAACAATCTTTTTACATTGAATATCGATGATCATAATTATTATTTATTAGTCACAACATCACATATACTGGTCGGATTCCAAGACAAATAGCTTAAGAACTCTTAAGGACTAAAACAATGTCACGTAATAACACCCAGACTCTTTACTTTAGAATATAGATCGTTTTCTACATTCACCCAACTGTGAATCAAACTTTGGAGATATGTAATTAAAATAGGTTACTATAAAATGTTACCTACGTAGTGCTAAGTGTACTTATTTAAAAATATTGTTATATTAATATATAATTAATATTTGAGTATTAATTAAATGTTTCAAATATTAAAGATATCGATAAATACCAAAATAAGAGTTCTACTAACGAAACTAAGGCGTAGAAATATCCTGTAATAAAATAATAGCGAAACTAGGAAGCTGGAATATTTAGTAGCTCTACTAATAATATTGGCATACTTACCATCAGGCAATAAAACTGTAGCGATACAAAATATCCCACTAATGACCATTGAAAGGCACAGTGGCCATCTTCTACCGACTTTATCCATTAAAATCCAGCATACGAGATAACTCGGTATTTCCACAGCAGATGATAGAAAAAAGCTCATGTATTGATTGTTTCCAATAGCAGGTCCGTAGTAACTGAGTCCAACGTAAACCATTTCTGAGGCGCACCAGTTTAAAGTGATCAGACAGGTTTTCAACCTCATATTAGGTGTTTTGAATAAAGCAAACACACTAGCGTTTTTAGTCGCTTTGCATCCATTTTCTTTTTGTTCCAAAACTAACTTTTGAAGTTTATTTGTAAATTCTTCGGGCAACTCCTTGCCGTTCACTTTGGCTATATTTTTCAAAATGGTGTTCGCTTCCTCCAGTTTTTCTCTCATCAACAACCACCTTGGAGATTCGGGTAGTACAAACCAGTAAAAGTAATAAAATAAAAATGGTACTGACGTCACTAAAGCCAAAGCTCTCCAATCGCGTAGTAAGTAAGTAATGCCTGATAATAAAATCAAGCCTAATGTGTAAAATATACATGTCATTACTGTTACAAATGACCTGTAATTCGGACCTGCTAGTTCTAAAGCTGTAAGTAATAATTAATATTCAATAATCGGTTAAGTTTAGATTTTATTATTATTTTGCTCATCATAACAAGCGTATTAATTCTTCGCCTTCGCTATAAATGGAATCGAATCGAATACGAGAATGGGCCATGACTCATCACGAGAGACTCAGTGCGGATTGATGGGTGTTAACGACTGCATGCTGTCAGGACCAACGGCAAACTTCTTTCCGGAGCACGAAGGAGCTCCAAATAATAATTTAATGGTCATCCATAGTATGACCGATCTTTGCGAAAATTATTTAGCTTCCGTATTGCAGACAGCAGGCCAGTCTGCTAATGTTTATGTAACAAAAGCATCTCAATAGAATATCAACTATTTGTATTTTGCCATTGTACTATAGTTGAGATTCTATCGAGATGCGATTATTACGCAAATTAGCAGAATTGGCCTGCAGATCGCGCTAACTACTGCAGAATCGAAATTATTACATAGTATATTAACATTTCATACTTACAGATAATGAATGGTATCTGATAGACTGCTGGAATAGTTAAACCCACTATGGTTCTTGCTAGGACCCATATCCAGTACGCGTGAGCGAACGCCGTCATTATACTTCCGATCAAAAGTGTTGTTAAGCAACTGAAGAATGATTTCTTTCGACCTATTCGGTCGTTTAATATTCCAAATGTGTAAACACCTATAGGTCCTCCAACATTTAAAGCCACCAAACCTAGAGTCGGGTACACATCGTACTCACATACCAAATCAAACTGAAAATAGCAAATATTATTATGTGTAACTTATACATAGTAGTTTTTGTATTATATCCTATCTTCAAGAAATATTAAATTTCCTATTCTTTTGTTATACGTAACATTAAGCAATCCATTTTCTAGGCCTTCTAGCCAGATGTTTTCTATTCTTTCGTTTTACGGAACATCAATTTATTACAGCAGTAACGAAAGTTTTTTCAATAAAGTTGAAGAATAATAACAATAATAATTCTTACATCGATGACAATAGACGATGTGACTTCAGAAAAATCGTATTCGTAACCATTCAAACAAGGTTCTCGAGGCCAGCTTTCGTTTACAACTATTGGATTATCACTTTGTATAACTTCAGTCCAGTTCACTTTATACCGAAGGCATTTCTCAAAAGTAGAGTTGCTACCTGCCTAGGGGGCACAAGAAATATGTTTTAGATTTGAGTATCACTAACATATTTTAAAATATATTTGTAAAACTATTTTAGTAGCGTAACAAAAATAATTAGTGTACCTGATGTGGTATTGACAGAGATTTGCGGTCTCGTTCTGTGAGATTTAACATAAGAAGCTCTGGTACTTTGCACCAATGATCGGGTACGTCGGTCATGAACAACTGATTGAACGCGCAGAATCCACATGGCAAGCAAGCGGGAAGGCACACAAGCCACAGTAACAACTTCTGATATAGACCAAATTCACCAATTTTTGGGAGCAGATCATCCAAATCAATTGCGTCATCGTTTATTTCATCAACCTTAACATTTATGAATAACCCATGTTATCTTTGATACTGTAATTTATTAAGCGGTTTTTTTATCATAAAAACTTAACTATATATGTACTTTGATATATGATGGCCAACACGAAGAAGAAACAAGGTGAGGGTTAAAACATTGACCTCCCTAGCAATCTGTTCACGGTTATGCACTTAGCGAATATATATTTTTAATTTATTGATAATAATCAATAACAATAATGGAAGGTACATAAAATGGAACTAATTGTTTCACTAAAAAACTTCACTTATTGGATAAAATAACTACCAATTTTTGTTGGGTGCCGTAATTGGATGGTAGTGTGTCAGTCTTAGACATTTTAGTTTTTTTTTTATTATATTTTTCAGCTTCCGTATTCCACCACTTGTGAACGATAATAGGACACTATAGACAAACGGTGTCGATTCACTTCTAACCGTTATTAACTGTAGTGGCTTTAGTGTTCAGGAAACCCTACAGTATTAATCTAATTAATCAAAAGTGTAAAGCGTGGGTAAGGACCTGCTTATTCAGTAAGATGGTTTAAGTATTTTAATATTTCCGAAAATATATTTAGTTCTTACACTGTAAAATTTTTGTTTCATTGTTTATTTTTTTGTGAAGCGTTAACTGGCATTGGAGATAAGTGTTCTGAGATTGTGTGAAAACAAAACAATGATTTAGTAGGCAACTATAATCTAGTTTAAAGTATGTTTTAGAAATTGGTATTTTTGGAAAAAAGTACCCTTATTTCATGAAACTTATTTATGGGAATTTATCTAAAAGTGAAAAAATCGTCTTTAAAAGTATATTAAAATATTTGTTCAAGGTCACGACTCCGACCGCCTATTATTTTCTATCTATTTCCAGAGATTGTCCAGTGAATCCTAACAAAAAAAAATATATATATATTAGGTAAGATTAAATTGGTAAAATAGTCGATAAATTATTTTGTTTCTTGAAATACAGTGGTAAACTTCAACTTAATTTACTACTTCAAAAATATTTTATTATATAAATTATATTTGTTTTATGTTTCAAACTTATTTATATTAACTCTCTTATTATGATTATATTTTACCAGAACGTTAATAGAATTAGAAATAAATTGCAACAATTCTATTTCAATATTTTAAACAAAAATTATGATATTATTTGCTTATGTGAAACTAACTTAGATGATTCATACCCAACCGGTCATCTATAAATTCACCGGTACACTGTTATTAGGAGAGATCGCAATACCGCTAGTTCTACAAAGAAAAGTGGCGGTGGAGTACTTATGGCGTTGAACAGGAACCTATTCGCTGTAAGTCGTACTGACTTGGAAAGTAGTTTAGAGGATCTTTGGGTTACCGTGAGTGGCCCGAGCTTAGGTGGTGTTTCTTTAAGTATATACGAGGGTCAAACTGAAAGTTCTTAGAAAATCAAAAACTGATTACATTAGCCAGTTATTAGTTTTATTATATCTTTCAAAATATTGTCCATTCACGTCAATACACGCTGCATGCGATGGAACCACTGGGAAAAGCACTTTGCCCACTCGTCCTTAGGGGTCTCTTCAATGGCATCGCGATACGCAGCCACCGCTTCTTCAGCATTCATAAACCGCTTTCCTTTAAGTTTTTCTTTAATTTTTGGAAATAAATAAAAATCACAAGGCGCGAGGTCGGGGCTATACGGCGGGTGACCCAGTAATTCAACGTTTGATGTCGCCAAATAGTCGATCGTTCGCTTGGCGGTGTGCGACGAGGCGTTGTCGTGGTGAAGGAGGATCCTACTGCGAGGTCGTTTCTCTCGAACTTTTTCCAAGACAAGTGGCAAACAATTGGTAGTGTACCATTCTGCAGAAACTGTTTTTTGATCCTCTAACACAATTGTTGCAAAATGACCTATCCTTCCAAAGAACGAGGCCACCATTTTTTTTCCCGCACTTCGATCTCTCTTCACTTTAGTTGGCAACTCCTCGAAAGGAAACACCCACTGAGCAGATTGTCTTTTGGTTTTAGGATCATAACAGTAAATCCAGCTTTCGTCACCTGTTAGTATGTCGACACAGCATTTGAGTCACCTCCGTTAAATCTTTCAATCATTTACGACACCAATCCACACGATGGAGTTTTTGAGCCTCAGTCAATTATGAGGTATCCACCGGGCGCAAAGCTTCCTGACCGCTAAATGTTCGTGGAGGATTTTGTGCACTTGACTCATACCGATGCCTAAGCTTGTCCGAATCTGTTGATAGGTCACTCTTTGTCAGTCTCTATCATACGCCGCACAACACAGATGTTATCTTCAGTCGTCGCCGTAGAAGGCCGTCCCTCACGTAAATCATCAGTGAGATTAGTGCGACCACGTTTAAACTCATTAAACCAGTTGAAACAGTCGCACGAGATGGGGCTTCATCGTGAAAGGCCAATCGTAGTCTATCATTAACTTTCTTGTTGACTTAAATGACATCGAAAGTCATAAAAAATCATTGCACGAAAATTTTCTCGTGTTAAACTTCATGATGACGTGACACAGACAATTTTCAATTTGCCGCCAAATCGTAAAACACATGACAAATGAATGAAATATATACTCAGTACTCTTGGCAAAGAGTATATTTTCAAATTTTAGAATTATTTTTTATTATATTGTTTATAAGTGGCCAGTTCTAAGAACTTTCAGTTTGACCCTCGTATATATCTGTTGTATATGTCGCCGAGTCTGAGAGTATCTGAGTACCAGTATTTCTTTGATCATTGATATCTGATATTTTATTGAATAATGTTACTAACGGTGTGACAATGGTTATCCAACACTTCAACATACCAGATTTAAGCTGGACTCTTGATGACAGCTAACCCCCTGCTACTACCCCTAGTACGGCTAGCAAATGATAGAAAATCGACGGCGCTTATAAATTTACTGGATTTGGGTGGTCTCTTCCAATTTAATCATGTGAAAGATGCCAATAACAGAATACTTGATCTGGTTATTAACGACATTACCGACATAAGGGTTTCTGAGTACTATCCTTTGAGTACACTTGATTCTCATCATCCACCCATGGAAATTGATGTGAGTATAAAACCTCTACGCAAGTGTTTGACAATAAAAGATATTAGGTACCCAATTTTCGTAAATGCGATAATATTAAATGTATAGAGCAGCTAAAATTGGCAACATATAGTATCTCATAATGATGTTGACTCTGATACTCAATGTTTCTATGACATATTGAATGAAATTATAAAGACTATGCATGCTGCTTCACTAAAGCAAATAAGACAATCGCAATACCCACCTTGGTTTTCAGAGCCATTAAAAGCATTTTTTGTGAAAAAAATAAGGCGCATAAGAGATATGAAAGATTTGCTAAGCCAAGAGACTACGACGAATTTCGGCTGCTATGTTATAGCTAGATCAAAAATACTTGTTAAGAAGTGTTATGATGACTATGTTTCTAAAGGTTGAGGAATCGTTGGCAGAGTCTACAAGACTGTTTTTTTCCGTTCTTAAGGGCAAAAAATCCAACTATACGATCTCTGAGACTGTTAAGTTTGATGGTAAGTTCGCTACTGACGGCCTGACACCTGCTGAACATTTCTCGGAATTCTCTTCAGTCTTTGTCGCTGATGATGCGGATATCACCATTAATCGAATGACCGATCTGCCTGGGAGTTATTCTTTGTTATCGTTGCATATCTCCGAGGAGGATTTATTAAATAAATTACTTGCTTTATCTAAGAACAAAGGGGCTGGTCCGGATGGCATACCTCCCTGCTCTATTAGACGTTGTGCATCTGGCCTTGTCCTGCCACTATACCTTATTTTTAACAAATCCCTAGACTCGGGAACATTTCCGCGTGCTTTGAAGATGGCTAATAAAGTACCCATAGATAAGTCTGGAGATTCTAGTGATTGCTCTAATTACAGACCAATAAGTATATTGTCATGTTTTGCAAAGGTATTTCAGTCTGTGGTTTATAATCGCCTGTTTTATCATGTCAAACCTCATCTCAGTCAACAGCAACACGGTTTTATAGAGGGTAAGTCCACTACATGACCTCATGTACCTACATAAAATTATTTGTGGCTCTATAAATACCAGTGTCTTATCAGAAATAGGCTTCCGAGTCCCTAACAGATCTGCCAGACAAGAATGTCTCTTTTCAGTGCCATTTCTTAATAATAATGTTTCCTTCCATCACCCTATATATAGAATGTGCCGTGAGTATAACGCGTTGTTGGATCGACTTAATGGTGAGGCTGATATTTGTCATTCATCTATTAGTAGTTGGAAATACTAAAAAAAAAACAACGTTGAGTGCTGTTTAAATTCTAATCTTTTTTCGCATTTATTTATTGAATTTTATTTTTATTTAAATTTTAAATCACAATTTTAAGCAGTTTTTTTTGTTTATTATTTTCTTAATTATTTATTGATATATATTATATATTTCCATTTCATTTTATATTTTTTATTATTTAATTTATATTTTTTTTTATATTTCCATTATATATTTCCGAGTAGCTCGGTGGCGTAGTGGATAAGCGCCGCGGCCCGCGATCGTAGTCGTTAAGCAACTTTCGCAAGGGTCGGTCACGGGATGGGTGACCAAAACATTATTATCTCGAGCTACTCCGTGCTTCGGAAGGCACGTTAAGCCGTTAGTCCCGGCTGCATTTGCAGTCGTTAATACCCTCCAACCCGCATTGGGCCAGCGTGGAGGGTCATGGCCCATCCTCCTTAACCATCCATAAGGAAGGCCTGAGCCCCTGCAGTGGGGACGTAAAAGGGCTGGTGATGATGATTATATATTATTCATTTATTTTAATTGAGATTTTAAATCATAAGTTTAATCCATCTTTTGTTTATTGTTATCTTAATTATCTTTTTATGTTTTGACAATGAAAAGAGGTTTTATGTTTTGACAATGAAATGTGAAATGATAGATATGTGTATAATATTTTCTCTTACATTTTTTTATATATGATGTGAGGGATTTTTTATTAACGTAAAAGATAAAATGTTTTTAATTTAAAAAATAATTATTACTATTTTGATTTTAATGTTGTTGCTCTGGTTGTGCATGCTGTTTACGCATATTCATAGGTCAAAACGAAAACTTGTTTAAGTACAGTTTGAGACGTTTTTTAACTTTAAATTCTCAATTCAGAAACCGGGTGTTATTTTATGATGATTGATGAGATTTAAGTGAATATAAACAAAACCTGAGTTATTCCATAGATTATTGTTATTGCAGGAGCGAGCGACGGACGCTAACAAGGCGCTTGCCATCGACAGTACTATCTATATTTATATAAATACTAATATTATAAAGAGAAATGATTTATTTTTCACCCAATGGAAGCTACATCATAAGCGGGCAAAGTTGTGGTGCGAACAGCTAGTTCTGATATAAAAACAGCCTCTTACTCAACGTCGAGTGCAGCGCTGTCATACTATGCAATAAATCAAGTAAAGTATTAAAGCTCTATTCTGCCAAACCGCTGTGCTCTATTCTGCCAAACCGCTGCGATAATGCCATTGTCGTATTTATGATAAATTGATTTTGTAATCGTGGCAAGTACAAGTTAGCTAAAGTTCGCGAAAGGAAATCACCTTTGTCAAAATATTAAGTAAATATCACAACATTAAACACTTGACCGTTATTTGAAACTTTATGGTTTGAGATAGGCTCTATGGTTTCCTGCCTGCCTATTTGCCTCTTTTTCTACATATTTTGCCTTTCACTCGCACATCTGACGTCACTCTACTCAACCACCAGGCAGGCTTTGCGCGCTTGCTTCATTGGCTTCTTGTTTCCTGAAGCGCACGGAGGTGCTTCAACGGGTATCTAGTGAGTACATTAACGATTCTTTCTTCTTAGAAGTCAACTTTTATAGATACCCTAGCCTCTCTAATTATATTTAAAATTCAAATTTTTTTTATTTATTTTTTCAAAGTAATAATTTTATATTTGTTTTTATACGACCTCCGTAGCCGAGTGGTTCGCACGCCGGTTTCAAGGTGTTGCCATCTCTGAGGTCCCGGGTTCGATTCTCGGGCGGGTGTAGAAAATGAACTTTTCTATATTGTCTCGGGTCTGGGTGTTGTGGCACCTTCGTTGTCACATATACTCCATAATACAGGAGCTTTAGCTATTCATCTTGGAATCTGAGCAATGTGTGTGATTTTTTTTTTATATATTATATATATACAAGTACGTAAATCTACAATTTTGCCAACCGTATATGAAGCATTTTTGATCAATAGGGTAGACTTTACTTTCTTTCGAAATTGTTCAATTTCAAATGTGTAATTATTTATTTTTACAATTTATCAACTACCCTCGTTTTGCAATAATAAATTTCTTTTATCTAGATATTTTCAGAGAATCATTAAATCATTCATTTCATAATGAATAATTCAAAGGATGGAAATGTTTACAGTAATAATGAGAATACATTACATAGTGATACAGCTAATAACGGATCTCACAATCGAACAAAGAAACGAAATAAGCGTTGTCGCAGTTCCTCGAGTAGTAGCTCTTCGAGCTCCTCGTGTAATTTTTCATCCTCATCGTCTTGTTCAGAGCCTGTGCAGTCAAAGAATCGTCGTTTCAGTAAATTAATTCGCGAAGTGTGTCCTACGTAAACGAGTGTCTTATTACTATATTCCATCCACGTCGCGGTCGAATCGTAATTAGGAAAAAGTTATATATTAGGTAACGTTAGCGAAGAGTTATTTCGAGATTGTAACGTTAGCATTTATTCTCAACCCGGTTTTAATTTTGAAATCGAAACAAAGTTAAAGGAACCCTCAGTTCCTAAAACACATCAAGATATTTGAAAATATTAAAAGATATTTAGCAGTTTGATAATAACGAACGGTGTTAAGTCCGTTATACAGACACTCGGTAATCTTATAATCTTTCACCCGCATTAACTGATGTACCAACCTCGTTCCTCGCAGGGACAGAAGGCGACAAGTAGTGATTTTCATTCGGCCACTTTATACAACAGAGGCTTTCGTGCAAAGGAGCAGGTCCGTTGAGAATAATGCGCACGCAATTAACGTAAGTTTTGGCAAACAGGCACTCAAAGGGGGCCAGTTGTCGCAATATCATCATCGTTGGCGTCTACTGGGCGCTCCATATTATATTCTGAGGCTCAATCAGGGGTACCGCATACCCTTTCTTCTAAAGTCGCCTTTAGTTGTACTAAATCCTTGCGACAACTGGTTTGCCACTCCTATCACCGACACAATGACATCGTTAATATTATTATTATAGAGTCAAGGTGTTCTCGAACCAGTCAAAATAGCACCACACTTTCTTTCAAAGATGTTGCTTGTTCTAAAGACCGATGGCTCTCTACGGCCCATATTCAACCGTTAAACGATTTTGTCATAACAGACAAATTTCGTCTACTAAATGTTTATCGTGTTCCCGACTTTTTGCAACCAACGACTGGATGTGCAAGATAGATTTATTCCAGGCCTATTTTCATCTGTCGATAAAAGAATCGCACAGGAGGTTCAAAGAGAAACTACTCCAAATAACTTGCCTTCCGTTTGGTCTCAGCACAGCCCCAAAAGTCACAAACTGGGTAGCCCAAAGTCTACGAGCAGAGGCGATACGTATAACTGTTACTTGGACAATTTTCGCATGACTCACTTAGATCAGCTGGTCATACAATTTCGAGTTCAGCTCTCGAAAGAATGCAGTTTCTTGAGTGGCAAGTAAATCTGGAAAAATCTATACTAGTTCCTCAACAAACCCTTGTTTTTCAGGGGATAAAAGTAGCACAGCAAAAGGAATTACAGCCTTATCGGCCTGTTGAATTTTTCCAGCTTCGTAATCCCTCAAGGGAGATTACATATATATATACCAATCCACCCTTCTATGGCAAAGCGACAACAAAACAGCTGTTGCTTACATTCGAAACGAAGGTGGATCAAAATCCGCATCTCTTATAAATATGGCATACCAAAATTTTCAGTTAATGAAGCCGCATTCAATCTGAATAATTGCGTATCACATACCGGGAAGTTACAACGGCCATGCAGATCATTTATCTCGTTTCTGATTTTACCACCAGAGTGGCATCTTCTACCTGCATGTGCAGAAATTATGTTCAAAAAGTTTGATGTGCCTGTGATAGATTTATTTGCATCAAAGACTGCTCATGTCGTTGCGAATTATGTTCCTTTGGACCAAAACGATGTTCATTCAATTTATCACGGAGCTTTTTCCCGTCAATAGAACTATGTGAAAGGTTGGATTTTCCCTCCTCCTTATCTAATTTCCAAAGAGTTAAGTCACCTCAACCAAGCTCAAGGCACTTATTTCCTCAGTGGGATCGAGTATTTTGGAGAGCACTGGTTCCATCGTTTACCATACCCCACCTAAGTCGTTACCTGATAGACACCTCAACGAATTTTTCCATCTTACAAGAGACGATACTGGTAGTGTGTATTTGTAGGGCTGGTCAAGTAACCCAACTGACTGGGACGAATCCCAGCTCAATCTTTTACAATCATCATGGCGCTTATCTACGCGCAAGACATATAGGGCAGCCTGGCTTAGGTGGCTTAAATGGAATAAGCTACATAAGTTTAATGCTTTTCAACGTAATGGTTCAGTATCAGCAAGGTTTTTAGCTTATTTATACCTTAAAGAATTATTCTCTTATAACACAGTATTGTTACTTAATATCCACGTTGTGTAATACAGAACTATCAGGTTCCCATAGTTCTCACGTGATTATTCGACACGTTATTAAGTCAATTTCTTAAAAAACCCAGTAACACTCAAAACGTCTGTTTGGGATGTTGATAGTCTTGTCTTTTTTAAAACATTATACTTTGACAAAGAAAGCAAATTCTTAGTCTCTAGACACACTGCAATATTACTTTGTTTAGGTCGTAGAGTTCATGACCTTACTTTATTAGCAGTAGATTTTGACCATTTTAAGAAAAATGACGACTACATTATTTTAAAATGTATATTTATATATCTACTAAAACTATTGCACATTGTCAAACAGTAAATATGTGATACCCTTATTTTATGACATCTGTTACACAATATTTTTATGCAATAAATGATTGATTGATTGCTTTATGGCCTAGCTTTGGATCTAAACCTGATAATTCTAACTGCAGGCAATCGGATTGGAAAATAATGACAGACACAAGCAATAAAAATCTCGATCCCGTTTATTGGGTAAATAAATGTATGAACCTATTACAAGATCGACAAATAATCTTTCAGTCGACGAAATCTTATCTCGTAGTAACTGGAGATCTGAAAATACTTTAAGAAAATTTTATAAACGTGAACGTGTCCAATATCAGCTAGTACGAATCTCAATATTATAAATACTTTTGTAACGATTACAAATTGATTAATTATAGCAACATCACTGATTTTGTACTACTTTCAGTTTAGTCATTATTACAATTTGCATTGATTACATTTTCTATCACATTGACGTCGTTCATCTCCACCAGGCGATAACAAACACGTCTCAAACCATAAAGTTTCAAATAACGGTCAAGTGTTTAATGACAGCGTTTTTCCTGAAATAAAACGCTTATTAAATACTTACCTTATTTGAAACTTTAATTTAAATGCTGCCTGGTTCGTTTTTCGACTCAATGAAGCAAGCGCGCAAAGCCTGCCTGGTGGTTGAGTAGAGTGACGTCAGATTTGCGAGTGAAAGGCAAAATATGTAGAAAGAGAGGCAAATAGGCAGGCAGGAAACCATAGAGCCTATCTCAAACCATAAAGTTTCAAATAGGGTAAGTATTTAATAAGCGTTTTATTTCAGGAAAAACGCTGTCATTACGAAGATAAGAGGGACGATTAAATAACATTAACATGTATTAAATTGTCACGATAGTAATCAGTATTTGTAAATATAAGTTTATCGTTATTAATCTTTGTAAGTTATTGATATGATTTTTACATCTGACAAAATTTTTTTGATAACAACAGTGCATTGGCTCTTTCAAAATGACTTGAATTATAAAGGAATGTAGGTACCTAGTTCAACTTACTTTTACATGTATCTCAATGTTTTATTCGTAGGTAATCGGATTTATTATTGTAGTTTATAAGTGTTGAGCACAAAATACTTCACATTGCATTTCGTTTGATTATTAATTTTTCAAAGTGACTTTACACACACAGACTTTATCAAATCCAATTCATGTCCCATATTCAGAGATTTGTCTTATCTTAGATACGAGTATTTGAAATACAGATACAAGATACAAAATACGTATTTTCAAAAAGTTAATAAACGTTCCGTTACATACTAACGCACACTCGCCTCGCTATAAGTCACGAAATTAATTTTAAAAACCAAGTACTGTTTAAATTTTACCCACTCTCTTCACCTCACTAGGAAAAGATGTTTTTTTTATGGAAATTTTACCAGTTCTCCGATATTTTCTCATGTGGTCTACGTCTTTTTGAAAATCCTAGTTGCAAACACTGAGATGATGACTCTTTCTTTCGCGCATTTAACCCGATTTATTAAATATTTACGTTTTTATATGTTACACTGTGATTAACAAACAAAAAAACATTACTGGCTTTTTTACCTTATTACCTCCATCAAACGGAGGAAAAGTAGGTGAAATTTAGTTTGAAAGATTTGACTACAAACCCCGGTACAGGTGAAACTAGATAAAAGCTTGTAAAAAAATATTTCTTAAAAAATCCACTTTGTCCCTGGTCCTATCTCCTAGAAGCGGTTTTTTTAAACATTTTTCATTAAGATTTAGGTTCTTCTGGTCTGTAATAAACAAACTTAAATTCAAATGTTGTTTTCCTAGAAAAGTATTTGTATTTATAAAAAGTATTTATAAGATACCTATTTTGTAGCTAGTATTTCAAATACTTTTCTCGTAAGTATTTCGTATCTGGTATTTGAAATACTTAATCTAAAAGTATTTTGTATTCCAGTTACTTTGTACAGGGTATTTTGTACATCTCTGCCCATATTAATTTATCTCGATTTAATACAATTTGTTCTCACATTTCGTTGCACTCAACTTTTGAATTAGATTTATTTAAGGTTACAAGGTCAAATTATCCATTTTATACACTCGCCCTTAGTAATAAAACAATCATTGTTTTCAGAGTGGGTGGAAATAAATATAAATAGTAAAAGTTTCATAAAAATTGGATCATAGAAATTTGAAACAAAGAAGTTACAAAACAATATAGAAAAGTTCATTTTCTACAATAATCGGGAATCGAACCCGTAACCGTACTTCAGATGTGGTGAGAATCCTCGAAACCGGCGTGCAAGGTTCTCCACCACGGTGTTCGTAAAATAATAGAAACACAAAGGCTCTCGACCACGGTGTTCGTAAAATAATAGAAACACAACAGATACGTATTTCTTTTTACTTCAGTTTAACAAGAAATAACAGGTATTAAAGTTGAGGAGTAAGTGCTCGCTACGTCACAGTTTCGTAGAAAATGTACTAATGCGTGACGTCATGTGATTTTTAAAAAAAATACGTGTTTGATATTTTTCAACAATCGTCTTGACGGACATAAAAAAAATGTTGTCTTCCCTATTGCTGATTTATGTAAAATAATTATATTTTAAGGATATAATGAAATACATTTTAGTTTTGTTAAAATATTTTATTTGTGAAACGTAGATAAAATCGATACAAGTAATTAAAATTCTTATAGATATAACTTATAATTTTACATAATATAATGAAACTGTGAAACTTGTCTTAAAAACTTTAATATAATTAAACCGTTCAATGAGTTCTTGTTTCCATTACTTTCGTTGCTCAACAAAAGTGTATATTGCACGCTTGCCATACCAACACTAATTAATTTAATAAAATCTTTAATATATTGTATAATTGAATAGTACCATTTATTATACAAAATCTTCGTTTACGAGAGAATTGACACCATAGGTATAAAAAGGAAGCCTATATTTTGTAAAAAAACTGAGTATTTCTAATAAACGCCTTTACATTTATTAATTTCAAATTTCATCATATAGGAAAATAAAGCATTATAGCTTTCCATCTATTAAACTTTTAGTAACAAGCAAAACGATGTTGGTAAATATCTACTTAAATATTTTCATAAATTTAAAACACTTTATCTTTTGTAAATGTCAATAAATTTATCTATTTACAATTTTATATACTAACAGAATTTTGTGCTTTTGATTTCATTTAGTAATTATATACGTACATTATGAAAGAGATTAAATTTCATAAGATAATTTGGAAAATTTCAAATAGTATTTCCAAAAATCTCGAAATAAAAAGACTATCGTACCTATTCGGTATCGCACAAATCAATCACGATATCCAACCAAACAACTGTCAGTTAGTGTTGTTTCCTACAAAATACACTATGTAGGAAATAACAAATAATTCATATGCATAGTTAATTTTATGTAAGTGTACATATAGCTTCCCACGTCGACCGTATAATTTAAACAGTTGTTCGTAAAATATCATATTCAACAACTGAGGCAATATAAGGCGTTAAGCACTATCATCGAAGGCATATAAACCTACAATATGCAGGTTCATTAAACAACTCGTACTCCTTACACTCGAGATTCCGACAGGGACACATATTATCACTCTCTCACATTAAATATGAAACGGACTGACGTATGTGTAAAATACCATTTTGCACTTTTATAATTCTCGTATTACAACTGCACACTTGCACAACGTCAATTAATAATTACGTACACTAACAACAAATCGTAGTCCTTAGTGACAAATAAATACGGATTGTTTTTAGTCGCTTTCATTTAAAATGGTAGGTAATTCGTATCAAAAGGAGTTTTTAACAAATGTAGCTATAAGAGATTTGACATGAATGAAGGATTTGGCTATTGGTTGAAAATATACAAATATTTACAATACGATTGACAATGCATAGAGGTCCCGGCGCAGGCGCGCCTCCCGCCGGTGCTACGTGAGTAATTTGAAGAACATGATGCCCAGCGAGATGTTGATGAACAACACCAGAATCACAAGCTGCTGCCGGGAGAACCAGTCCTGGAAACCATGTTTTTTATATTATATTTAAGCCATACTTATGATAAGGTAATGTGATTAATTAATATAAATCGTTGGATATTAAGAATCAAATTTGAACCGTTTAGATTCGATAAATTAATCACTAAAGATTATTTACAATATGTAATGAAACTACTAAATAGATAAAGTGATAAAATCTGCTATTTTTAACCTAGGGTCCGCCAAGATAATCCAAACAAAAAAGGGTAAGGGCACAACCTAATTTTTCTCGAAACGCCTCGTCGGATTTTGGACCCTCATAACTTATGTTTGGATTACATTAGATACATCAAATATTCGGGATGCAATCTTTGCAATTATACTTTTGATTTTATTGAAATCGGAAAAGCCCCGATTTCGGTACTTATATACTTACTCACTGATTATCATCATAACTTATAAGGTATTTCCTGAAGTCGTAGAAAGCTGACATTTGCTATGTGAAATAGTATCGGTGAACAGACAGAAAAATTCAAAATCTTGGAACTTCTACCCTCTGTCCCTTTAAATTAGGGGATGTAAATCCACAAAATTTCACTTAGACGTCTGAAAATTTCGGAATGTGATCCCTATAAGAAATATCTTAAACATACAAAATTTAAATTGCATAGCTTTTATACTTTTGATTTTATTAAGACTCCGATTTCGATCTAAAAACCCCCGATTTTGATACTTATAAACTGATGATCATCAAAACCCGAAGTCGTAGAAAGCTAAATTTGGTATGTAAGATAGTATTAAACTTTCAAGCCCCATCCCCTAAGTTAATGGGTATGAGACTGCCGCAAATTATGATGCTAGAAGTTTGCAATTTGATATAGGAATTTCTTGATATAATTATAAAATACTTATTTCAGGATTTGTCGCTAATCACCCTCATTCTTTAAATAAGAGAATGGAAGTTTGTATGGGTATTCACATATAAACTTAATTTAATGCTAATATGGTCATAATTGTATAGATATAGGTATTTTTTTATTACCAATTAAAAACAATATGTGTCATAACGTTTATAGTTACTAATATAATAAAGGAAAGAATGTTTGTTCGTCTTCATTTTTACTCCGGAATGGAGTACTTGTTGTATTTTTTATTTGAATATGGTTGGGAGGTGCTCTGGTTGGGAGGCTATAGAGGGATATAAGCTACTTTTTACAGCTTATCTCTTATCTCCATATACGTTCTATCCCAGTACGCAAAATGCCCCCATACTAATAGTTATTTCAAAATCGGTCCAGTATTTTCGGAGCCTATTCAATGCAAACAGACAAACAATAAATGAAATATTTCCCCTTTATAATATTAGTATGGATTAAAATAAAATATAAAACTACATAGATAAATAAATACAATGATGTTGAATAATAACATAAAAATAAATTGTACTTGCTAATAATAACTACATTACGATATTATATTATAAGTTTTAATTTGTAACCAGCGATGTCGCTGTTCAATTTTGATGGCGTGGCGAAAAAAATTATGGCGTGTAGAGTTAGAAGCTTGGCTGTACATGAGGTTTAAAAACTTTTTGATAGTGTGAGCCATATGGTCATGTCTTGGCAACATTTCACATGATAATTTTGGTGGGATATAACTTTTTGAAAATGGGGTAGATATTATGCATAAAAATTATATATTAACATAATAACTCGATTCATTACTTTATCTGTAATATGTACCTACATGGTATGTAATATGTACGTATATGGTATCAGCGTTTATATACAATTTTAATATCGTTTGACGTATGTGTAATTGAATTGTGAAGATATTTTAAAGGCGCTTCAATTGTATTTAATCATAACTATGCAGATACCAAAGTAAAAGGATAGAGGCTTTACACCCATGGGGCTAGTTATGACTAGCCGAACATTGTGTTTGGGCTTTCTAATGTCAATCAATTTGACCAAATAAGAATTGGAGACAGACCACTCTTGATTGATCAATGAACGTTTGAAAGTCCTAATATGATTTACAGATAATTCCGTAGTAGCATTACAGGTGAATTTCGTAGCGAAGCGTTATGGTAATTGCTACGGAATTTACGTGTAGTGACATCTCACTAAAAATGAAGACGAACAAACATTCTTTCCTTTATGATATTTATTTTTGGTAAATTTATTTAAGATATTTAAACTACATTTCGTTTTGACGACCATCAGAACCGTGTTGAGAAATAATGACAACAGTTATTATTTATAAACAGGAGCATCATATTATATGAAGTGCAGGATCTCTATCGTATAAATCAGCGTGTATTTGAACGATATCATCACACTCTGATTTAACTTTTGCAGCTTTAAATTCGGGCATCCTTTATAGCGTTTGCTCACCTTCACTTGCGGACTGACTAGATATAACAAGGGGTTCGCCCTGAGCTTCTCCGACTCCTCATGCATGCGGCGCACTTCCTCGCGGCGAGCAGAGCCGAGCGCGGAGACCTCTTCTCGAGACATGCCCCCACCGTCCGGCATACGCGGCATCCCCGCCACGTCCGGCAAAGACTTCTTACGCTGTAGAGCCTGCGGCGTACTCAGCATCTGATGGGGTTTTTTTGTTGATTCAACAGATGTTTGTATGATTTATTTCATTAATACCTTACTGTTCGCGTTCCTTTATAATTATGTAAAGATTAAATTGTAATCTTAATTATAGTGTTTTTAAACGTTAATAAAAAAAGTCCCATTACGTATTACGATTGATTTTATTATGAGAGATATCCGGTCATTTGCAACTAAGTTACCTCCACTGGAGGAACATTAATCCAACTTTCAGAGGCTCGTCGTGCAAGAATTGCGGGCGAGCACATAAGGTCTTCGTCTTCATCTTCTTCGCTTTGATACCACATTTTGAAATGTATTTGTTTTCACTGTAACGCTTATTCAAACATGCGTTCTTTATCGATGTCAAGGTTTTCAGTTAAGTATGATTACGTCAGTTTTCATTTTCACATTATGCACTCCTATGTCTTTAGGTCACTAATTTCATAGACCAATTAATTTATGAAAATCACTTTTAACATTGGTAATCAGAAAATTTGCAAGCTTGGGATTTTTTTTGGTTAAATATAGCAAAGAGGTGATACGCGGAAAGCGGCAGCGAGTGACTGTCTCGAATTAGAAATAGAACGGGCTGAGCCGGCGAGTGGACGGCGGCGCGCCAACCGTTCCCAACGCCTACATAGCGGACTAGAAGCCGGCCGCGTGCATTCCCCGCTGATGTGACATTACTTCTGTTAACTTTCAACTGTTAGGTAAATAACCGTTTTTAACTAAATTATAAATTAGATTAGTTTTCCTGTTCGGTACTACTAAAATTCTTATTTTTTGTCGAGAAATATATATATCTTAAGAATATTAAGTTATTTGATTGGTTTTCTGAGTATTTGACTCCATCATAATATTTATGGGAAAAATAAAGTTTTAATTGCCAACATAAGTTTTTTCTGAAAAAAATAATAATAAAATCAATATTTTCTCCTCGCGTACCTCATTGTACTTTAATCGAGAAACCATATTACCAAGAATAATCGCAAATCTGGAAATATATTGATTGAATTTGAATGGAGATCTCTTATAGAGATAAGCCCACCCTTGCTTGTGATTTACATACTATTATAATGTTAACTTTGTTTTTTTGGGCAATAAAGAGTATATATATATATATATATATATATATATACACATATATATATATATATATATATATATATATATATATATATATATATATATATATGGTGGCATTTCTTTAATTGGAGATCATTTATAAACAAATGTACCATCTGTAAGGTTTGTAATAAATAAACAAAAAAAATTAAGTATTATTCGTTAAAGAATTCAATCACTATCTATGATTTTATAGTGTATACTACTATTTAATGATATTTTTTTGCTGGAATCTGTAAGTAACAAGGTAAATGATAACTAAGATTATAAAATAGTGCATTATTAAGAACATTGGCTAATAAATTAAAAAAATATAAGCTATGTGTATATTGATATTAAATGAAAAAAACTATTTCAAACTCCACTATTACGTACAATTTCTAAAAGATATATTAATCACAGTTCGCTTCCGTTAGTTTGGTATCTGCATAGTAATTATCGCAGTTATTTTTTAGTTTTAATATTATATTTATTATTGACATGTGATATAAACCCTAGTACCAATTTAGACCTTTTGCCGGACGAACGATTTAAAATTAAAATTGCTAATAGCGAAGGCAATCAACATAAGCTATAAAGTGGTAGAATACTTAAATAAAGAATAGAAAAACAACTCGTATCCTTCTCCAACTCCAACAAATACTTGTCATTTGATCCATTTTGGATTAATATTTCAAAATGGATCCTATAAATAACAAAAATGCTAATTGGAATCGAAGTTTTATAGCAAATTATAGAAGGATAAGGGATACTAAAGAAAATATTTACTTGTTGATTTTTTACAGTTCATAGTTATAGTATACGTTTCTTTTATTGAAGTATCGTACCCTTTTATAAATCCAAAAAATATTTTGGTATATAAATATACCTATATAAATATTAATGTAATGAAACAATATCAAGAATTTTTCATCAGCTGAACAATAGTTAAGTAAGCTGTTATCATGCTATATAGGATGGGTATCAATTAAAAGGGTTATCAAACAAAAAAAAAAATACGAAAATAAACAAGTACTCGATTCTAAATGTAATATGGTGGATCACCCAAAATATGCTATTACTCTCACGATATGGGTATTAAATGAAAAGATTCTCTGAGAAGATTACGATAAAATAGCTAAAAACTAAAGCAGTACGTAAAAATATATAGAATATGCGTTATAGTACAAAATTTAATTAGTGATATATGAACAGCTAATAGATTAATAGAGATAGTTGTGAGATAGTTGATTAATAGAAATAGAATAGACATACATATATGAGAACTTAATGTACGTTCGTAAAATATTAGTTTGTTTTCTATAAAAAGTAACGGTGCTTGTCACTAGACTGCAAAAAGTTAATAGCTCATTCAGGGGTTTTTGTGTGCGCTTCTACAATAAGGTCCCAAGCAAAATACAACAATTAGATATCACTCAGTTTAAATCTACTATTAAAAAATTACTTATTAAAAAGGCTTATTATAAGGTATCCGATTATATAACAGATAAGAATGCTTGGACTTGAGATGATCCAGCAACTGGATAGGTGATTACTTCTAAGCTCATTATATATCAAAAATTATCTTGCTTCCATTATTATTAAATGATTATGTATATAAGACCATAGTTTTTTTTCTCTCTCTATTTATAATGTATTGATCTGGTAATGACATAGTTTTTGTAAATGTCATTACTCCAATCAGAGCTGGTGGCTTCTTGCTCGTTCTTCTTATCAACCAAAAGACGTTCTGAACGAGCGGTAGGGAAAAATGTTTGACGATCTATTTCTTAATTATGTTAAGTCTATTTGAATAAAGATTATTTTGACTTTGATTAAAATTAGTTGGCTTGGAGATCCACAGAAATAAATTTTTATGCTAACTTGTGGGGGCTTGTTAAAATGCACAATATGTGATTGTTTATCTCTGTCTCCATTACAAGCAAGATTAGTGATTAAAGCTTGGGATAAAATTAAGAATTATATTATTTTCCAATGTAAGACACCTTACTTAATAATTATTACTTTATAGGTTCAAGTACTTCATTATTAGTTTTTTGACTCCTTAAATAGTTGTTTCCGGAAACCTATTATATGAAGTTTTTAAAATGTATTTAATGTGGAACGATTTACACGTGCTTTGAAAACAAAGTGTTAATAAATTAAAAAAAAAAATCTGGTTTTCATAAGGATATTAACATCAGATTTCTCCTATTTACAATTATCTATTTCGCACATCACCATATGAATTTAAGTCATTATCGCAAACAAAATACCGGAATGAACAAATGAAACAACTTTATAAGATATACAAAAGCTAATGAAAAATGACAATTATCCCCTAAAAACCTACATAATAGGCCCGAAGAAATTACGGATAGTTCATCTAGCGTTATGCTCCAGCGCATATTTTAATCTAGCCTTTTTTATTTTACTCTTTTGTATTGAAAGATTATTAATACCGTAATATGACAAAATATGACTAGGCAATAAAGTTTTCATAATATTAAAATAATACATACCTTTCGTCCCCCTCCACCTCCCCCAGTCACGGGCGCCGCTGGCGGCGGCGCCGGATTTTGAGCCATGAACAAGCTCTCGGTTCTTTTTGGTTGGTAAGGAGACGGTGATATTTCCTGTCCGAGAGTTCGCTGTCGTAATAGAGATTCTTCAAAAGGTTGGTGTTCTCGTGAACTCGCCCGGGAAATGGAGCCCCGTCCCGATGTGAGGTGGCCGTTCCCTGCTGCGGGCGTGGCTGCGCGGGAGGGAGGTCGCGAGGTGGCAGCGGGCTGTGGTGCCACGGAGCCCGCGCGTGACCCTCCGCTAGGCGCAGCTGCCTCCACAGACGGCTGCCGCGATCTTCGGCCGTAGCGGTCTACGCTGCCGTCTCTACTAGGTGGTCTTTTATAATGATCGAAATAATCTATTGATGGTCTCTGGCCCGGTGCTCTTGCACCATTAACGATATCTTGCTCTACACCGGCTTGTCGATAAGTTTGCTGATCTGATTGAGCCTGTCGATACATCTGTTGATCGGGCGCTTGTCTATTGTATCCTTGCTGCTCTAGCATTTGTCTTCCATATCCCTGTTGCTGCTGTTCGAGTTGTTGTCGGTATACATTATCCATAGGTTGTCGGTAGGCTTGGTCTACTGGCGCTTGCGTTCGATCCAATGGTCCCTCGGAATACACAGTTCCACTTCGGAATTCGTTTCTGCCGTAGGCGGCGGTGCCAGTATCTACGTAAACGCTATCTTGAGGATCATTTGACGGTTGAGCGAGTACGCTTTGTCGTCTAGGTATGTTTTGTGTAGTGTTCCAATCTTGTGGTGGCGGTCTCTGATTAGGAGTTTGCCTAACAGTAGATGATAACCGACGACCCTGATTTATATACTGCTGACTACTTTGGTCCATAGTTTGTTGTTGTGGTAACGTATCTTGCCTATTTAACCGATAAGCTGAATGTTGCGCTGCATTCGATGGGGCAGAGCTGTATGTATTAGTTTGTTCATTCGGTAAATATGGTTTCTGATTATCTGCATACTGAGTATTTGGAGATATCCATGCATCTTGACTGGGCGAATTATAAGAATCATAGGAAGGTCCTAATACTCTATTGTCTGTGTTGTAATTTGAACTATTGGTTAATCTTGCATCTACAGATGTCGGTGGCTTAGGATATTGAGTGGAAGGTCGTCTAGAAGGCATCGCGTTAGGTATTTTATTGGCATTTGGGAGTTGTGAATGCATCGGAGGGATATGATTTGGAATGCTCTTTCCATCCATGATCTTTTCGGATTCTTGTGATACGGGCGTCGTGACTTGCGCATCGTAATTCCTTTGTCTATATCTGTCTCTTAAACCTATTCGATCAAAGCCAGGGTGTTTGAAATCTGGAGCAAACTGTTTTGCAGTAGCTTGGGCAATATCACAGTCTTCTTTTGCTTGGTCTGCAGCCTCATCGGCCTGTTCGGCTTTACCGCGTGCTGTAGCAGTTCTGGAGACAAGAATATTTTATTAATTCATTTACATATAAGGTCAATACTGTCACCCTGAAGTACGCGTACTTTAAAATTGCAGCGCAAGTTTGCGGCTATCTGGTTTGAAATCTTACACGTAGATTGTCTCAGTTCGTATGTGTGGCAGCAATGCGAGTTGCGAGTCGCCACTGTTTCGTTAGTCCGTGGAGGCGCAACGCTTGTTGTTTTGTGTTTGATCTTATTTAAGTTATTTTATTATAATTATTTATTTTATTATTTTTTATTATGGCAATTTTCCTTCTCAATACTTAACTGTCTTACAAAATTCATATTTAATAAACGCTCTCTTTTCGTAAGCCAGTTCTTTACCCACACTTTTCAATTTCGTCTTTTTTATTCGTTTTTAAGACGTAATATGATATAATTCCTAAATAAAATAAAGCTTCTTCCGTCGACAACATTGCAAAACAGTGTGAACCATCTTCTCGTGTGTCTCCGTAGTGGAGCCAAGTAAATTGGTGATCTTAAAAATCGCGTAAATATAGTGTATACGTCTATTATCCACTTCATATTAAAAGTTAATTGCTTGTTTGTTTGTATTGGAAAGGCTCCGAAATTATACAATCGATTATAAAATTCTTTCATTTATGGGAAGCTACACAATACGGGGAGGACATGAGCTATAATTTTACGCAAACGAAGTCGCAGGAAAACAGCTAATTTGATAGAAATTGGTTCACAACTAGAGAACAAAACAGAACAGAGAAAATCCTCCTCTCGGCTATTGAAGTAATGCAATCTTTTGTTTTTTTTACTGATATTAACATGTCAACAACATATTTAGGTTATATCTGATGAAAAGCATATTTTATTTTGTTATAAAACGAAAACCACTTATTCAATTTCGATAAAATTTAAATGAGACCACCTCGGTCCTGTCTTATCTTATTTTTATTAAGCTGTCGAACAAAAAAATGTATTTTGCAAATCAGTCAACAATTAGCAGAAAAAAGTTGGTTAACATACTTAAAAAAATACATCGCCGTCGAACATTATAACCTCCTCTTTTTTGATTAGAAACATGGCGCGGTGGGCACCGACTCCAAAATGAATATAGGTAGGTTAGGTAACCACTAATCGCTTGGGTACTTACAACGTATTGTTGAGTTAATTTTCAATTATTTTTAGCTTTTTAATTTGAAGTCGGTTTTATTTTTTTTATTCGATCCTTTTTATACCTAAGTCCAATTTTATAACAATAAAGGCCTTGAGATGCTCCGGATCTTCCTTTTTTGTCAACATAAATAAGTATTAATATCTCTCATACAATAGACGGGCTGCTCAGGACTTCAGACTTTGGAGGTCTTCAGAGCTAATTACATTTCAGTCTTATAGTCAGAGTTAAGTGGGTAATACATCATTAAAACTTAACCGCAGAGCTTATTCTGTTGATTTTTGAGTTCCCTGGAATATCTTCCAATTTGATGACTAGACTTTAACTAAATTTCTATGTGACTAACCGGATACTCTACTCTTTTGAATGTAAAAAGATTATCGTTCTTATAGTTTAAAGATTATAGTTTATGTAATCGTTCTTAGGTGTTTCCAGCGAAAAGTATTGTTGGAGTCATATCCGTGTTGATTTCACTATAAGTATGACATCTGAAGTAAAATACAATAAATGGAATAAGCTAATAATATATAATAAGCTTTTGGTTAATAATTATCAACTTTATCTTGGATTTTGTGCTTTTGAACTACAGATATGGCATCTGAGCTACTGGACTGATTGAAGTGAAATTTGGTATACTCACAAACGTAAGTTGGTGACCCAAACGTAACCTACCTATAATTGCTTTTGGAACAAGGCAGCCAGTTTGGGGGTAAAGTAGAAAAAACAGTTTTGCAAACTGTAGATATTTATTAAAATTAAAGGGCTTATTGTGATCGTGAGAATCTCAATCGTTTTTTAATAAATAGTTTTGAAGTTAAGAAAATATAAGAAAATTGATAATTCCTCCGATAGTTAAATTATGTCTATGTTCTGTTATTATGACCTCATTTACTCTCTTACGTGTTTTCACATTCAAACATGAAAAGACTATGGAGCTATTTTAGGCCATCTCATTTATTATTTGTGTTTCTACGCACGAGTCCAAGTTGCCCAAGGTTTTTTTATAGTATCTACTTACGAGAATGTGTGATATCCTGTCGCAGTACATCCACGCTGAACAGGCATAATTTCAATATCAATCAAATGTCTATAACTGTAAGTATAATAATAAGAATTGTATTACTTATATAGATATATTTTTCACCGACTTTAAAATCGAAAAATTTGAGGTTATATGTTTGGTGACGATGTGTTTTTTTATATATGTTAACCGATTTTTCCAAGAAATGTGGACCGATTTTCAAAATTATTTTGTCTAAAAAATAGAATCAGTAGTTTTCTTTTTTAATCATCAATTATCACCTAATTACATAGATGACATATTTATACCAGCGAAAAACAAAAGGTAGTGTATTTTGCATTTATTCAAATTCAGAAAGGGGGAGTTTCTATGTTCAACGGGTTTTTTGAAACGAAGAACATTTCTTATCATGATGTCATTGACCTCCGATTCGTAGGACTGTCTCATACATTCGCGAAAAACTGTTTTTATGACCTTTGACCTAGATTTTTTTTAGCTGGCACAATATCAGTGTCTCATCATCAATAAAACACCATAATAAAGGTACATAAAATTCAGCTCACTAGAAAACGCAGATGAAACATGATTTGAGTGGACTATTTCTTTAATGTAATTTAAAGTCAATATCAATGTAAACTATTAATCTATTAATTAGTGAACTATTAAACTATTAATTTATACTAAATGTAAAATGCGCACGATTAATAAATTCATCAAGTTTTGACAACGTCATAGTTCTTTATGCAAAATGTAAACGTCAATGTGTAATCGATAGTTACTGAAACGGAATACGTTATGATAACACGAACCTTGATATAGCTATATCGGCTTTCTGTAATGCAATCTTGGACGCACGCTGTGCCGCATTGACTGCTGAGTCAACGCGCTCCCGGAATTTAGCCGAGCGCATAAGAAACATGTGTTTCCGCTTTTGGCTTGTGATGAGCACGTTGTTCTTGTACTTGCCCTCCTCCCGCGTCCCGTCGCGGAAGGTGGTGACGCCATACCCATACTTTCTGTTTGCGAACCATTCACCCTCGTATCGCAGTCCGTCACTACGTTCGCTCACACCAAATCCCGTTCGCTTATCGTTTTTCCATTCGCCCATATAGGTCTCTGTTACGTTTGCGTCCAGATGTTCATCCTGGAAATATTTCGATGACATCAGAAATAAGCAATAAATTTAAAATGTACATTTATACAATAATCATATTGAGAGCAGATTAAAAAAATATTCATCTGCGACGCGCATAATGTTATGTACCGATATCTTAAGAAGGAATATAGGAAGTAAAGTGCACATAATATATTTATAGTGTAGATATCATAGAGACCAGCGAAATGCAGCAAACAAAAGCGTGCCATGCTACATAGGTACACTGAAAAGTTATTTTTATATAATATAGACGTAAGGCAAATACCTATACTTATACATGTTTTAATTATTTAAGCTTATCAGTTACTTATCTATTACAAAATAATAGGTCTTAGCAATGAAATGCTGGAATAACCCTAATAGGTTTTTTTAGTAATGTGGAAGATAGCAATGTCATGTCTAACCTCAACCACAAAGCTGGCATTAGAGTTGGTTTGTAGAGATACGTGTGTCATGGCAGAGTGAGAGCTCTCCACTGAGGAGACCCACGAAGAGCCGGAGCCCCCGGAGCCCCCCGAGCGGACCGAACCTGTACCCCGCTTATCCAGCTCGCCGGCGCTGCGCTGCTTCCGCAACTTCTGCAATTACAGTGGACACCTGCTTATCAAGGATCACTACCAACATGACTACACCATCACAACTGTCGTCGCTTACTCTCTTTTAAATTAAGACAGCAGTGTATCTAAAGTAGTTTAAAGTTAATATATTGGAATAAAGTTTCTAATTACCAGCGATTGTATTTTGTCACTTTAAATGTAGAATTGTCGGTGAAAAAGGGTAAAACCGATGGATCATATTTCGAAGCAAGCAACATAATTAGTAGTCATACACATACAGGCGGAGCAGAATAGCGCATACTTTAGTGAATCAATAGCAGCCCATGGTAAGCTTAATAGCTCAAGCCAATAGAAAATTAGAAGGGAAATAAATTAAACAGATGTGTGCGGTAAGCTCACCGATAGCAATCCTTTTTTGGTTTTTTCAACGAGCGAGCCTCGCCGGCCAGGCTCGTCGGAGCTGGCCTTAAGCACGAAGCCACCACGAGCGTCATCCATGCGTGTCGCTCGCCGCTCTGATGGATCCGGCGTCCCTGCCGCATCCGCAAGTGAAGCCTGTGGGAATGGGAATAAAACGTAGGACAAATAATCAATATGATAATATAACAACACAAAGTTCCTAATAACAACAAAATAAGTTCCTAAAAAAAACTACTTCAACCATAACTAACAAAATTAAATAGAAATATAAATGCAATTTTCTCTACTGCACTTTTTATACACACGTTTAAAACATAATTTTTTTTATATTTATAAATATTCATGCTTGTATTCTTTAGCCATATTTATTTATGTACAATGAACTGTACAAACGGCGGACTTAATGCCATAAGGCATTTTCTATTAGTCAACCGGAGAGTTGTGCACAGAGAACTTATAAAAGGTGATTGCAACAAGAAGAATTCATCGTACAGTATTCATAGACATGTAATTAATTCCATTAAAATCACAAAACCGTTTTGAATATATTTTTTTCAAAACAGTAGAACCGTCTTTACACTTTTGAAAAGTGAGATATTGAGGAAACTTTTATTTTTTATGAATACAAAATACGCAATCTTTTGTTTTTCGGTTGACATAAACATGTCGTCTAAATATTTTAGTGCGATTTGGTGAAACCATATTTTATTTTGTTATAAAACAAAACTACCATCTAGTTCTATAAAATTTATATGGAACTATATACGTCGAACAATTCTCATGATCATGATCGGGGCTAAAGCGGTCTAATAGAAAAATTATTTTGGAAATCAATTCATATATTTATAATATTTTGTATTTGTATTTCCGTAAAATTCTTATTGATTTGTATTCGAAATGGAACGGCTCCAAATATTTATATAAAATGGCATTCAGGGGGTATCGAGGGCAATAAATCAAACTGAATATGTTTCATTTACCCAAAAAACTAAAAACAGAAGGCTGTATCAAACATCCTTACGACTACCGATACTATTTCTTCTACCTTATTTGGTCGCTATAATCCCATAAAGTGAGTTTAAATATCAGTGTATTAATATAATTTACCTGTGAGCCGCGATGCCCTCGTGCGCCTCCGCGATAGTGCGACGCCAGCCCAAACGGCGCTGATGTGCGGACACCGTACCCGTGCCGCAGACCTCGCATCCATTGTCCTTGGTATGTGCCTGGAACATATGGTAGATATTGTAAAACAAAATCGAATTTCATAAATTTAAACCTCCGTAGCCGAGTGCTTTGGAAGCCAATTGCATGCGGGTTTCAAGGACATCTCTGAGGTACCCGGTTCCCGGTCGGGACAATGTACAAAACGGACTTATCTATATTATCCTGTGTCGGGTTGTTGTGGTTCCTTCATTGTCTCAGATATTTGATAATACGAGGGCTTTAACTATTGGAATTTGAGCAATGTATGTGATGTTGTCTTATATTTTTTATTATTTTAAAACAAGTGAACTATGAAGAGTAATGAAACGTCCAGGCAGTGGTAATTATTTATATAACTGATATCGTTATTTTAAGCTGGCCTATGATAGTCTATATTAAAGTTAGTCGATTTCCAGTCGGTTCAATATAGAAAATGAACTTTTCTACTTTATCTCGGGTATGGATTTTGTGCTATTTTCATTGTTTTAGCTATTTAATTAGGAATCTGAACACTGTATGTGATGTCGAGCAATATTTTTATTTTTTATTTAGCTAGGTTTCATTTACATTTATTTACAAAATTAATAACGTTTTTTTAAATAAAAAGCTTATTATGTCAAAAAGTTTTCATGTTTATGCATCACACACAAAACAGTCTAAAACTTTTCTAAAACTTAAAGTCTATGATAGTCTTAAAGTTTTCTATATTGAATCGACTGAGAATCGAGCCCGTGACCCCAAAAGGGCGCACTCGGCCACGGAGGTCGTATAATAATAAGCGTACGAATAAAACTGACTTTCCGCCATTGGCTTCACCAGAGTGGTGAAGAGTTAATTGAGAAATCTTTATACCTAATTTCATCAAAACCGTGAGCTCGAAAGAGTAAAAACATACACAGACACATCCGTCCTCAGAAACTTTAACATTTATAATATTAGTAAAACTAACGTCTATTTTGTGAGACAAAAAGTAAAATAAGTGTCGCAAGCACTCCAGAGTTGTACCTCGGAGTAAAATAGTCACAGACTGTCGCATGGCGCTTCTAGCAATAAACAATATAAATTAGGCCAATCATAGATTTATTGAATGGCCACGTGAAATCATTAAGTAGTTTAGTTTAATAATTGATACCATAGATTCGATGACCTCCGTAGCCGAATTGACTCTCATATCGATCAAGGTGTCGCCATCTCTTACACTCGTATCTATAGTCGTGTGAAACTACGTAATTACTAGAGTAAAAGTAATGACTTGAGCAAATATTTTTTAACAAATAAACAAGAATTTGAATGAAATAAAAACTCCTAATAGTAAGAATATTATTATTTCTAGCTATTGAAAAATTCTCGTCTACTGGTTAAAATATATCTGCCTTAATTATGCCATTTTCTAAAGTTATTATTACTCCTCCCGACTATAAAAATGCGAGTGTAGTCTAAGGCGACCCCTAGACACCACAATAACATTGTACAATATATTTTATTGTCCAATAAGATTGAAAGGCGCTTATAATACAAACGATCAATTATATTGCACAATAAACGAACTACGCAATCTTTTCGTGTTTAGTCGTAGAACAGTGTTGATCCCGTGTGCACCTTGCGTCAATATGTCCGAACAAGATTTAGCTGCTGCTGTAGTTTTGTTGCTTGTGGCTAAACGTAAACGTAAAAGAACACGTCGGTGGTCAAAAGTTTGGTACAAAAAAAGGCAGAAATACACTAACAAAAATCTTTTAAAAGACTTGATGTTAACTGAGGAAGTGCAATTCAAGAATTTTGAACGACTGAACTTGGAACAGTTTCAAGAGGTACAAGAATTGGTCACGCCATTGATTGAGAAAAAAATACAATCATGAGGGAGGCAATACCACCTTTTCAATGACTTTCAATAACATTACGGTATCTAGCGACTGGAAATACTCTGGAAGATTTAAAATTTCAAAGTGCTATTTCCCCACAAAGTCTTTCCTTAATAATATCTTTTTACGCTATTTTTGCACGTGCACGTGTACTCCTCGTCAAGCCGAAACACAGACTAAAAAATATTGCGCAATATTGACCCTACACAATGCAATGGAAAAATATGGTGCAATAAAAATTAAACTCGCTCAAACTTTTGTTCCATCATTGCGCAATTTTCAATATTAAATCTAAATGGTCAATAATATTGCACAATTCGTAAGATTGCGCAATTAAATTGATCGTCTAGGGACCGCCTAACACTCCGGACAGATTAATACGCATAATGGTTATTTTTCCCTAAAACAAGGGCTTTAGTCCTGTTAGGCCATGGGCAGCTCAGTGTTTAGAGCAGTCGCCCGGATTGCGAATGGACATTGGTTCGAATCCCATCTCAGAGTGCCAGGACTAAGTGGATTTTTAAAGCATATTTCATTAAGAATATTTTTCAGTATAGCATTGTGAATGCGAGATTGATCAAATATAATAAGGGCTTTAGCTACTTAAATTGGGTAACTCACATAAGTTATATTAGAAACACAGACAATTATAAATATTTCATATTAAATAAAGAACTATTACCTTTATTTTATTTTAATTTTGCGGAGATTACTGAAGTGGGGGACGTGGATAGTAAATTTTAGCCAGTTTTCTTAAATCATTTCAAAATAATATATTTAAAAATTTTAAAAAATTGGGATGCTTACAGTTAGCTTTTTCATTTCATATATGACACAAAATTGCTTGCAAAACTTTAGTTCTAACAGCGTTCGCTGATAAATATCAACGGATATATACGTCAATTGTTATTTATAATATTTATTGTTAGTTGGAGTGTTGAGTCTCAGCTAGAAATTTAACCAGCCCGATGTAACGCTGGCAACATTGGCTCAAAGTAGCAATTTAGTTACTCGATTTTCCCCTGAATTATGGATTTCCCCTATACGTTACTGGAAATCCTCGCACGCATATTACTTTATAATTATTTTTATTAAATAATCAAAATTTAGATAACTTAAATTCACACTTTCGATTTAAAAGATGAAATAATAAATAAAGCCACTATTCACGTTCAAATCAATCTCGTGCTCTTAGAAGATGGTGTCAAAAATCGCGTGAGCATGTATGAAATAATAATTCATATGGATGACGTAAAAAATGTAAGTAACGACCGTGTACATTTGGTCCTCTCTGTCCACCCTGATTTTATCACGTTCTAACAGCATTTCATGACCAAATCCTCATCCTCATTTGCTGCTGCTCTATAGTTGTGAATGTGGAAACTTTTCAATTCAATTCGAAATTACGTTAAAAGATTTGTTTTAAAAAAATGCGCTTCTAAAATTGTTTGGCTTAAATTTACATGCAGAACTGCGAAACTAGCGTCAGCGTAGCAACGCCACATTATTTCAAATTATTTACTATATACACACAATTCTAGTTAGTCAGCTAAGTAGAGCCAAAAAGTCTCTTGTTTCTCTCCAAAACTAAGTATCTAATTTGGCTGTTTGTCCTTATTTTATAACGGTCTGATAAGTTAGGGATTTGTTGAGTAAAGAATTTATTTCAAAATTCAAAATGGCGCTGGCAGACTGACAGATACCCTTTAATTCCGTTTATTGAAATATTCTAAAATGAAAATGTTATGGTCACTATTTCTATTCGTTAAGTGGTTTTAATACAGAACATACACTTAATTTAGAATTTTTTACATCCAGTTTACAATTGGATAGTCGCTATATATCCGTTCCATTTATGAATAATCATACAATAATCATAAGATTATTTATAGAAACGGGAATGATGTAAATCGCCTACATTTCGAAATCCTTATTTATTAAAAAAAATTCTAAAGCTGGCCAAGCATGTCAGACCACGAGTATGGTTCTGCAATTACCTAAGTTTTTTCCTGTCTTGCACAACAAACAACCTTAACAATTTTCAGTTGAATTTATACGACTTTTTCTTGTTTGCTTCTCCAAACTTCTTTCTAAATTAGCCGTGAAAGCTTTCTGTTTAATTTTATTACGCATACCGACATTTTTAATTTATCCAAGAAAGCATCACGCACTTTGAGAAAACCTGATTGTTATGATCATTTAACATTATTTTTTTTTCAGTAAGTTTTTTTAGAAAAGTATAATTGATTATTGCCAATAACGTAAGAAATACTTTTAAGCAGATGTAGAATGTGAAAGAGCTCAGTAAACAAATCTGATATAATAGTTTCAGATATTTTCTGATACCAATAGAAGCAGAGTTTAAATTATAGTTTCGGAGGTATCCATAATAATTAATGACATATGTAATTTTAAAGATACCAACTTTAATTTCCAGTCAACGTAACTAATTCACAATAATCCGACTGACTTAGGATAGTCCGTGTTCGAGTCTGACTACCAGCATTTGCTGTGAGGAAAAATATAATAATAATAACGTAAAATAAATATGCAACAAGACAATGATCTTTGAGGTTCTAGGTATAGCCTGTGTGACAGAAGTCAGTGTCTACTGTCACACAGGCTTTTGCAAAACGCTTATTATTTTCTACTTATTGGGTTCTCTGGCGTTGTTTTTTATTTATTATTAATGGATATTTTTGGATTATTTGTATTTAGTTAATTTTTACATCTCTTTAATAACAAGTAGAAACGGACAAAAATCTATACATTTTTTAACTTAAAAAGGTAAAAATATTACTTGTAATGTGTATTAAACTTGTTTAGATACCAATACGAATAAAACAGGCAAGTGTGAGTCGGACTCACGCACTAAGGGTTCCGTAGCAATGTTACATTATAATACCTTAATATTATCCATTACTTACTAACTTGTAACACTTTGTTTTTGTTGTGTTCTCATAGTGGTTGTATGAATGACAAAGTAATATTAGAGGTTTTTTTAAATGTGCTATATCTCAGAATGTGGCTATACCCCGTTCAAAAAAGTTTTCGTTGAAAATTTTCATTGGGGTCTACAGCATATTTTTACGTAGATATTCCAATCCTTAATTTTAAAAATTAGAGGGAGGGGGATGGTAGCAGTTTTAGAGAGAGAC